TTTTTGAATTAATTTTATTATTATTTAAAAATTTAAAAAAATTATATATTTGAATTGTTGATTATTACTAATTTATAAATTTATTAATTAAATTTCATATTCAGATATAACGAATTTGGATTTCAATTTTATATAATATATTTATAAATTCATAAATTTATAGTTTTAGAAAAACTAATAAGACCCAATTTTTTTCTTTTAAAAAAAAATACTAATAAACGCAAGCGTTGGTAGTCTAGAAATGCTCTATTCTTCTACGATTTTTTCAAATTATAAGCTTTAAGTCTAGACATGATTAATTGAATTGAATAATTATTTTAATATAAATTAAAGATATTGCAATTTTAATAACATGATAATTTAATATAACAATCTTTGGGAAAAATAAAATTTTTAATAATATTACTAATTACAATTTATAAAATATGATGTACAACAATAAAACAACTCATGAAAAAATTAAATCTTTAATATGTATTTATAAATTAAAAACTATCAAAACAACCCGCGCAAAGCACAGACTTTTACCTAGTTGAAATATAAATTTGTAATACTATTGTATATTTAAAATTTTACTTGAATTTTATGTATTCATAGAATGAAATCAAATTCAAAACTAAAATTTAAAGAAGAATATAAAATTAAATAACCTAAAATTAAAATTAATGATATAAATCATTCAAGTTCAACCACAAGAAAAAATAACTTATGAAAATTGTAAGATCTTGTATGCTTTTATATATATATATATATATGCAAAAACTATCTAAAATTATTTTATTAGCTAAAATTATGTAAAAAAATAAATTAAAAAACAAAATATTATAGCCCATGAGTGTTGAACTTATGTTTAGCAACTTGAGTGCATGGATTTTACCATGCTAAGCTATCAATTTTATTCTTAAGGCACATGTAAAGAAATCAAAGCCAGGGTCGGTGGGCCCAGCACCCCATGGCTCCGTCACTGTCCTCCATGTACTAATTAGGTTACCTTACCACTAAGCTACTTAATATTCTTACGTAGAAATACACACAATATATATATATATATATATATACACACAGAAATACACACAATATAATATAATATATATATATACACACTCGTAACTATAAGTAATATTATAAACTTTAAATATTTAATAATGATAAAATATTATTAGATAGTAAATAATAATGCTTATCATAATTAAATTTTATATTAAATGGTAGCATTAAATTTATAATATCTTAATAAATTAAATTATTTTTATTTTTTTAATAATATATTGTAAATAATTAATATATAATATCATGTCTTAGTAACTTAATTGAATTTTTTTATTTTTTTATAGTTTGGTAATTATGAAATTTATTAAAAATAAAAAAAAATTATTAATTGAGTAGAATGCTAATAATGTTATAATTAAAAATTTTTAAAGCTATTTATCAATGTCACTGGTAAACTTCTAATGATAATTATAATTATATTTTAATTTAAGATATACTTTTAGTAAATTAGATCATGACTCGTATAAATTATTACTAATTAACTTATAAACATAATTATTATGGGCTCTTAGTTAAATGTCTTTTTTTTATTAGTATCATCATATATATTAATATAATTATATTTTGAAGTCTAATGTATATAGATTATAATTATTAATTAATTATAACATACTAAGTATATTCTCTGATAAAAAAGTATTAAACTTAATACTTTACATAATATTTTATTATTACAATTACTATAATATTGAAATGTAATTATAGCCTTTTAATTAATAACTAGTATTGTGACATCCTACTGAGTCGAGTCGTTGTATAGAGTCGAGTTGAGTCGGCCTGAACCAAACCCGGTTAGGGTAGAATGAGATTATAAGTGGATTTACTTGAATGAGAGAAAAAGATCAAAGTATAAGGGTTAGGATTTACTTGCACTAAAAGATCAAGCTTGGGTATTAAGTTGTAACCTTTTGACACTTAAGGTATCATTTGGTAATTTTACACACAATCAATGATATTTTGGGAGCCTACCCGTGATCTCCACGTCACTTTCCCATTTTCATCTTTATCTTCATCTTCTTCATCTTCTTCCTTTCCTCTTCCACCTTCCTTTCAATTTTAATGGTAGTGAAGCTTGTAATGGTAGTTAAGCCTTAACTTCAACCTTCAACTTCTCTTCTATCCAAGTAAGTAACCTTCTTGAATTTCATACTTGAACATTTGGTGATAATTTTTAGGTATTCATAAGAATTCTTATTTTATAGGGTTGAAGTGAGTTCAAGGGTAGTAGAAAAGGAAGCTAAAGAAGAGGCTCAAGCTTTTTGGAGTGAAGGTTTGATATCTTCTTTGTCATTTACCACTTTTCTTTGATGAGATATCAAACCTTCACTCCAAAAAAGCTCTTGAGGCTCGTTCTTAGCTTCTTGAGTGAAAGGTTTTGATATCTCTTTGTCATTTAACCACTTCTTGCATGAGAAAACTTTGTGTGGTGTGATATGATAATGAGAAAATATGTTGCTTAATGTTGAGTGAGAGGACTGGAAATTTGGTTGCAGAAAGCATGGGATGAAATGAAATAAATGAAGTAGATTATTGAGTTTATGCTGAAATAGGTTTTGTTTGGAAAATTTACCAATAACTTTCACCTTGATTTTGGACCCTATTTAACGATGGGAATTAGGAAGTAGTCTAAAGAGTTATTTGTTCCTCTATGCGTTAGCTTTCCCAGGTTTTTTGGAACACCCAAAAATTCAGAGTTATATATTGAGAGCATATACCAAAATAGTTACAGGACTGCGCAGGCTGGAAAAACACGATGCGCGCTCACGAATTTTTCATTTGGGCGCGGCTCGCGAATGTGTGCCTATAAACTCTCTTGACTCTCATTTTAGCACTTCTCGCGCTCGCGAATTTCATTGCGCGCTCGCGAATTTGCCTGTAAACTCTCTGACCCTCATGTGTGCTTCTTCGCGCTCGCGACTTTGCATGGCTCGCTCGCGAATTGTGTTCTGATGCTCTTTTGGACTTCATTTTCTATTGCAATTGTATTTCCTTTTGCTCAACTTGTATGCCTCCAATTCATTTAAAAAACAAAAAAAGACAACATGAGAAACCATGTATCAAAAACAACATGCAAGCATGCAAATTGATTGAAAACAAGGGTAAACAATATGGGTTTATGAAGTCATGAAAATGTTAATATGCTTTTGTTTTATACTATTGGACAATACCGATATTTATGCTCCATTGAGGTATAGGTAGAAAAACCACGTAGATAAGGCTATGTCGCGACATAGGATAGCAAGATCTGCGCCCCATACAGTTTTGGTACTTTCGACTACAGGCGTTGAGTGATATATGATTATATTAATGGCCATAAGGCACCCAGTCATACAGTATTTCATCCAGTTCATACAGTTTTCTTATCACTTTGGTTTTACTATAACCTTATGGAGCCATACAGTTTCTACTGACTAAAACATTGCATAAAGTCATACAGCCATGGACCAAAATAGTACAGACTGCGCAGGCTGGAAAAACACGATGCGCGCTACGAATTTTCATTGCGCGCTCGCGAATTGCTGCCTATAAACTCTCTGACTCTCATTTTGCACTTCTCGCGCTCGCCGAATTTCATTTGCGCGCTCGCGAATTTGGCCTTGTTAAACTCTCTGACCCTCTTTGTTTTGTTCTCGCGGCTCGCGACTTTGCATTGGCGCGCTCGCGAATTTGTGTTCTGGATGCTCTTTTGACTTCATTTTCTATGCCCAATTGATATTCCTTTGGCTCAAACTTGTATGGCCTCCAACATTTTAAAACAAAAAGACACATGAGACATGCATTCAAAAACAACATGCAAGCATGCAAAATGATGTTGAAACAAGGTAAACAATTATTGGTTTATGAAGTCATGAAAATGTTAATATGCTTTTTGTTTTATACTATTGACATACCGCATATTATGTCATTGAGGTTAGGTAGAAAACCACGTAGATAAGGCTATGTCGCGACATAGGATAGCAGATCTGCGCCCCATACAGTTGGTACTCCGACTACAGGCCGTTGAGTGATTATGATTATATAATGGGCCATTAGCAATAAACCCAGTCATACAGTATTCATCCAGTTTCATACAGTTTTTTCTTATCACTTTTTGGTTTTACTTAACCTTATGGAGCCAGTACAGTTCTTACTTACTAAACATTGCATAAGTCATTACAGCATAATAAACAGTTAAGAACAATAATCAAGGGATAATTGAAAGAATTCATGATATGTGTGCTTATATTGCTTTAATTTATCATATTGTGTTTCCATGCTTATTTCTATTATGAATGTGGCTTACTTGTTTCTTTATAAGTTGAGATATCCACTGAGTTTATTTGCTCAGCAGAGTTACTGTTTACTCGCAGGTTTTGAGACTTGGACCGTAGAGAGTCAGCTTTACAAAACTGCTGCAGTTCATCTGTAGAAGACCTGTAGAAGACTCAGTCTTCAGGGTAGCTACTCATTTTGATGTGTATCTTTTGTCTATCTTTTTCATGGCATGTACAGGGCACACAGTTGGGCCCATGCCGTTTTGAAAACTAGTATCATGGCTTGTAAATATTACGTACATTATTAATGTAAACAATATCAGCATGATATTATATTCAATATACATTATGATATCAGCATGACAGAATATAAGTCAACCAGTTTGTAGCGTCTCGACTCGGTTTATTCGGGTTTACGGGTGGACCGGGAAGGGATGTTACAAGTATTATAATAATAATAATATAAATATAATAATAAGAAGAAAAAGAATAATAACTTTAATAATAATAATAATAATGGATATAACTATTTTACCATCAAAACGACGTAGTTTTGGTACAGGAAGATTAAATGAATCCACGTACATCGTTCACCCTAGGGTTGCGTTTTAACCATACAAATAGAGAGTTCTCTCAAACTCAACTCCATTCAAACGTATTTTCTCCTCCCTCCCTTCCCTGCGCCGCTCGTTTTCTTCACTTCTACAGCCACGGTCTTTCTTTATACCTTCCCGTTGCTTTCGTTCTTCTTTCGTTCTTGGCCATCGCCTCCGCAGGAGTCGTGCTCTTCAAGCCAGGTTCGTTCTTGATTATTTTTTTTATTCGTTCTCTTTTTATTTTATTTTATTTTATTTTTTTATTTTGCTTCGTCCCTTTTCCTTTTACTTTTTCTTTTTTTTTTTTTTTATATAAACACATAAAAATAGAGAAAGAGGAGGAATTGTTGAATTAATTTATGGGTTCAGCCGAGATCATTTGCATGTTGTTTTATTTTTTCGTTTATGGGTTTTGTGCATTTTTTATTTGTTCAAAATATGTATATATTAGAAGGCAAAAGGATGGTGAATATAATCCAATTCGTGGTTTGTTAAGTGAAATCTGATATGTCTGGTTCGTTATTTCAAAGTTTGGTTTGTTAATAATGATTAAGATTGTCTAGAGATACTGAGAATGAGATTATTTGCATATAGTTGTCATATACTGAGAATGGTTTGTTAATTTTGTAATTTTTTCTGCTGCTAAATTTGTTAATAATGATTAAGATTGTCTAGAGATACTGAGAATGAGATTATTTGCATATAGTTGTCATATACTGAGAATGGTTTGTTAATTTTCTGCTGCTAAAGTTATGATATATATATATATTTTCAAAGTTTGGTTTTCGATAATATGATTTCAAATTTCAAATTTGACATTGTAAATGAGGTTAGTTAAAAATATCAAATTTGATAAGCAAAACACACTAAAAGGAATCTGCTTTTTGTACAAAATGTGAAAGTTTGAAGTTGGGCCGATTTTATTCCTAAGCCAAAGTAGAAGATTTTTTTTTTTTTAATTGGATTAATTTGTTGTTTTTTTTTTTTTTTACCATGAGATATTTATACAAATCTATTTACAAATAAGCTTTTAAAAGCAATAACACAAATTACATAGGGGATTACACAAGGGTTTAATATTTTGTATTTTGTATAGGGCTGATTTTTTTTTTTTTTTTAATAATTTTTTTGAGAAGGATATAGGGCTGACTTAGGTAGCTTGAACATATAAGTGTTTTAGTCATATTGCTAGACTTTGAATTTGCTAGTTTAATTTGCAAACTTGTTTATTATCCCTAAACTTGATTGTAGCTAGTTTAATTTGCTGTAGGTAGTTTTAAATTAGCTAAGCCTAACTAACTAGTTGATTTGACTGTATTATGAATATTAGGTTTATGTACAATTTCTTGTGTTTTTGTTGCAGTATTGTTCTTTTTTAATGTACTTTTAAGTTAGATGAAGCTAATTCATTTCTTCAAAAATATATAAATTTTGATGATTGGGAATGTGTTGAGGAATTTATCTTCGCTGTTGCGTTTTATTTGTTATTTTTTAAATTAGAAAAAAATGTGCTGTAGCTAATTATAATTTTCTCTTTAGTCTTTTAAAGAATGGCTAGTCATCCTGCTCGCACTCTCTTCACTACTACCAATCTTCTCCGTCGCTGCTTCTCTTCTCTTTCAATGCCCTCTCATGCTTCTCGGTCTTTATCTGTCCTTCGTTCTCTGCGCCCAATATACGCTGCTGCCAACTTTGCTTCTTTCAGCTCTGGGGCTTTCACTGCCCGGTCTTTCTCAACCCGTACTACAACGTTGTCGCTCAATGATCCCAGTCCTAATTGGTCTAATCGGCCTCCAAAAGAGACGATATTGCTTGATGGTTGTGATTTTGAACACTGGCTTGTTGTTATGGAGAAACCAGAGGGTGACCCTACCAGGGATGAGATTATTGATTACTATATCAAAACCCTAGCTCAAATTGTAGGCAGGTATTATTTTTTTTCCCAAAATTTAATTAATTGTTTATGTAACTTTATTTCATTTGTGGAATTGATATTTTTGGGCTTAAGGTAATTGTAATTTTAAAATTGTTGTAAATTGTTTATCATGTTACCTGAAAAATTGGGTAAACTGATAGAACCTTTTTGTTTCTTTTATTTGAAGGTTCTTGTTTGATTAATGAATTTTTTGGTCCTCAACTGGCAAATAACCACTATCATTATGGGTTGTGATATGGTGTATTATAGCAGTTATTACTTCTTATGGATATATCAAAGTACAGCTCTTAACATATTAGTTGCATTTTATTGTGTACAGCTGTGGTGAAAGTGTAACAATGATGCATGTTAGGCATGTCGTGGTTTGTAGTTTTTAGTTTACATTTATAGTTCAGTTGATTCTACTTTTTGCCTTCTTGCTAAGTGCATGCTTCATATTTTGTTTCTTAAGCAGAATGGTCTGGCTATTGATGTTAATGTATTTTTTAATGTATTTTTATGTAATTTGTGGATTTGAATAACAGTGAGGAAGAAGCAAGGATGAAGATCTACTCGGTGTCGACCAGGTGCTACTATGCATTTGGAGCACTTGTGTCTGAAGAGCTCTCTTACAAAATCAAAGGTACATCTATCTTCCAGGTGCTTAATTTATTGAGTGTAATTGCAGTTTGATCTCTGATGGATGTGTTGTGTTTTTTCTTTCCATTCTCTCAGAGTTGCCCAAGGTTCGATGGGTTCTTCCTGATTCATACTTGGACGTGAAAAACAAAGACTATGGAGGTGAGGTGTTCTCTTTTATTTACCAGCATAATATGTCTGCTGGAACCTATTTATATTTTTCCATGCACGAACAATTATTATGCATCTAGGATTTCAAGATATTAGTTGCATATTGTCTTGGTTGTAAGAAGAATATCATATCATATGCATTGTTTTTGAATGAAACTAGTCTTTATATTTTTCTAGGCTTATCCATAACAGTACTCTTGATTTTACCAGCAGTTGGTATTTCTTGGTAATTGATTTTACTAGTTCTAAAATTGAGTATGAAAAGGTTTTAGGAAAATATGATGTTTTCAATGCATTTTTAAACATCTGAAAGGGTAAAGCCAGTACCATTTTTTGTAGGGAACGTTTTGTATCTTCTCACCCCCTTTATTGTCTTTTTTGCATTGGATCATGGGTTCTAGACATGCAATTAAATAATCTTGCTACATTATCAAATGACCTCTTTCCTCACTTGCAATAAATTTAAGGCTTTTATGGTACCTGCTTTTACTTAGAGGGATTGCATCCTTTTCATCTGCTTATTACAGGGGAGCCATTCATCAATGGTCAAGCTGTTCCTTACGATCCGAAGTACCATGAGGAATGGATAAAGAACAATGCTAGAGCAAATGAGAGAAATAGGCGCAATGATAGGCCTCGGAACTTTGATCGATCAAGAAACTTTGAAAGAAGAAGGGAAAATGTGCAGAACCGAGATTTCCAGAGCACAAGAGCAGCTTCAATGGATAATCAAGTGGTAAACAACATGAGTGGACCAGGTGGACCTCCACCACCACCTCCTCACAACTACTCGGCTGGACCTCCACCACCGCCTCCTCAAAATTACTCAGCTGGACCTCCACCATCACCACATCAAAATTTCTCAGCTGGACCTCCACCACCGCCGCCTCATAACTACTCGGCTGGACCACCAGCACCAAACAGCTACCCACCACCACCAAACAGCTACTCACCACCACCGAACATGGGAGGAATGCCCCCAAATTCCGGATGGTCAAATAACATGCCTGGAAACATGCAGCAGAACTTCCAGAATGGCCCTGACAATAGAGGCATGCCTCACCAAGGTGCACCATCCAACTACCAGAACTACAATTGAAACAGGGATGGAAGCCTATAGGCATGAAATGTAAATATGTAGGGGTTCTCTTTTTTTTTTTTTTTGGTTCTTGTTTGATGGCTAATGATCTTAATGTTTAGCTTCCTGATAATGCGAAGCCATTACTATTGTGGACTGCATGGTGCTTTGCTTTGATATTTAATTAGATGTTATTACAATTTTAAGAATATAATTCAATTTATAGTAGCTGTAGCAGCCAAGTGTACTCTCATCCTTTCATCTCCTGCATATTAGGCGCCCCAAGCGTATTCTCCTACTTTTATCTCGCTTAATATTATCAGGATACCTAAGTCAACATTCGCTGATCATCTTCAATGTAAATTTGTAGTGATAAATGTCAATTTCACATTCTACAGGTTATGTCTTCCTCTATTCTTTTTTCTTTCATTTTATAATTAACAATTATGTACAATGCTCAATTTGCTTAACGACATATTTAAGCAATGCAAATCAAGATAATACCAGTTGGAATAAAGATAAAACAAACAGAACATATTACACTCAACAGAGAGCAAAAAGAGATGAATCTGAAATGAGGAAGATCATATGTTTCACTTTTAGTTTGTTTTATTTCTATAGTTCTTACAAAAAGGAACTGGACAATTGATTAGCATCAAAAAGCAACTGTCTATGGAGAAAAGAAAATATGAGAGCATGATATTTGGTTAGAGCTAACCCTTCAAGTAACACATATCTGCTTATATTACAAGTAGAAAAACATATATATAGAGCATTGATTATTTGGTTAGAGCTAACCCTTCAAGTAAAACACATATCTGCTTATATTACAAGTAGGAAAAAAACTATATCATATATATATATATATAATATATATATATGATTTAAAAAAATCAGCAAAATCTGTTTTCCAGGCGTCGGACGGGAGATTTAGTTATTTTTGCACTTTTTTTTTTCGCTCCTATATATTAAAAAAATCAGCAAATCTGTTTTCAGGGTCGGACGGAGGATTTAGTTATTTTTTGCACTTTTTTTTTTCGCTCTTAACCCGTCTTTATATTTAATAAATTCATTGCAATTAAAATTCTACCCTGAGATTGCGTTATTGTTTGAATTACTATCAAAACTGCATTATTTTGATAAATAATTTTAGAACAAACATTATTTTTGTTGTAAGCCCAAGAATACATGACCAGAACTAGAGTACGAACGAGCATAAAATATTAGGAGTCTATTGCAGGGGAGTCCATTAAAGCTCATAAACACAGGAAGGGCTATGAGCCAATGCGTTCTCTGTACAGTCGCTCGTTTAAATGTTAGACTCTCACCTTGGTTAAGAATCTTAATTGGTTAGAGTTAACCTTTTAGCAACTTAAAAGAAGAATGAATGTACTTACGTAACTAGAATTATAATCGGATTATGTTATATCTGTATTCGATTTAATTCTAAGACTCTGTTCGTTATTTTCATAATTTTTTATTGTTTGAAACATTCAAGAAAATAATTAATGTAAAATATTTTTGACTTCTCATTTTTTTTTATTAAAGAAAATGACTTCTCATTTTTTTTTTATTAAAAAAAATGACTTCTCATTTTCAAGAAAGAAAAATATTTTCCAGACACCGACAAACTTGTTATAACTTTATAAATGCTCGTTTTTTAATTTATTAATTACTGGTAGCCACCACCAACAGTTACGGTTCACCACCAGCCATGGGTCACTGTTGGCCACTAACACCGGTCACCAGCGATTTTTATAATTTATTATTTTTTCATATTTTTCTCATATTTAACAATAATCTTTTAAAATATGAATTTTCTATTATTATAAATATTTTGAATGGTTTTATTAGTTAAGATTTTAATATTTGGCAATTAATTTTAATACTGCAACCAAACAATGGAAAATAATTTATTTAGAAAATATTTTTCAAAGATAAAATATGTTGGTTTCGAGAAATAAGCGAAACTTAAATCTATATCTAATCTAACTACTAAATTGAGCGGATTTTATAAAATCTATTTGAACCAGATTAGATGTTATATCCATTGGATCGGGTCATCTGATGATCCTTGACCATGACCTTCTTAAATTGTTCAATTTCATCCTTGTCTTTTGAAGTTGTTCAATTTCACTCTATCCATTCCATCAAAAGCCACTCTCCTCTCTGTCTCATTGTCGAATTCACCACGCCATGTTTTAATTCAGAATGCAAACCTTTTGCACAGCCTTAATTCAAAATAACAAACCAACCATAAAATCGAAGTTGTTTGAATACGAACACCTAAAGCTACTTCTGAGTAAATGGCATACAAATATCAGATCTCAAAATTTAATAATTTGTGGGTAAAGGCACTGCACAGAAATCATTTACTTGTGGATATTACATCTGCCAATTTCAATTGCAAGCAACCAATAATAATAAATTTAGATATATTTTAATAATTAATGATAGTCTAAGTAAAAAAGTAGTTTGTTGATGGAAATATCCAGTTCATGCCTGCAATCTCTTTCATGCTCGACCTGACAAATAATTAACCAATTGGTGTTCTGTTTGAACTTAGAAGCAATTATTATAATTGCATATATGAATAAAAATAAAAATTAAAAAGATAAAAAAACAAAAATAGTGAATATTTAAAACATAAAAAGGTTAGTCTATTTGGATCCATGTAAAATCCAATTACTTTTTTTTTTCTCTCCAACTCTAAAATTAGCGACCCAATAAACACAGCAGCACAAAAATTAGGTCTTCATAAGCAACAGCAGAGCAGATGAAAAAAATATAAGACATGAACGATTGATCATCCAGAGGTAAACAATATCAGGGTATCCGACAAAGGCCATGGGAAGATTTGCAGCTGAAATTTGATAACTTCTCCAGAGGATATTGTGTTCATATGTTCATAGAATTCTCAGCCTTTCGTTTATGTAAAATTGACATATCAGTCTTCTTTTGGAATATATTTACTGATAGTGATGATATTAGAAATAAGAAAGAAATTAAGAGCAATGAAAAGTCATGGAAATAGAAAATTTCATGTCCTAAAAAGAACATTTTCATGTTTTTTGAACATTTTCCAACACATCTCATTGAAAATATCACGATAAAATGTATGAATTTCAAATTGTTTGTGTTTATGATAAATCTTAAATTCTAAAAACTTATAGTTAACGTTCTCCATAATTTTAATTTTGAAAGAAAAATTTTAGTTTCCTTCAATATTTTAATAACATTTCATCTAACTATCATATTTACCGGAAAAAATGTGCATCTGAAAATTAAAAGCTGATGGAGTATCAATTGAAAGGCAATTGCTTGAAGGTTAACATTCATCCATAAAGTATATTCATGTGAAAATCATGATATAAAAATGACTAGAAAATGAAAACAAATCAAGCATGTACATTCAGTTATTTAAAACAATATACAATAAATATATATAATTTTAATAATTTGGTGAGACTTATATATAAAAATATTATTTTAAACACTTAAAATTGTTTAATCTTCTTGTGAAAAAAAATAAAAGTTTTTAATTATTTCAACAATTATAGTTGAAAATCTTTTTGTTTCATAAAAGAAAATACTCATCCCTCAGAGTCAATATAGGCCGTGTTCGCCAACAATATTTATAATAGCTTTTAGTGTTTTGAATTAGTAAAAACACTATTTCTCTGTATTATTGAGCGTTTTCTAAAACGTTTATCTCACCTAATGTTATTTAGCGTTTTAAGTTTTTTTTTTTCCTTACAAAAATTTTTTACAATCTTATCTTTTATTAAATTAAAATCCATCTTTATCGCATAGTGTCATTTTATTATTTTTTATTCTTCAGAAGCCTTGTTTATCGCATTATGTCTTTTTATTTTTTTTTATACTTAGCTTGTTTATAATTGATAGTAAAAGAAAAAAAAAAACGTTTATTTAACATTTGAATTCAAAAAAATATTAAAAATTAAAAATGTCTATCTCTAAAATATTAAAAATTTTCAATTTTATTTATAAAATAGTGAACTTTTTAATTTTTGCTCCCCTAAATTTTAAAAATTAGGTTTAATGATTTTTTTTGAATAATGAGTTTAATATTATCTATATGTGAAAATTTTGAGTGAATATTTCAATGTCTTTTTTTTGTTATTTTAAATTTAATTGCTAATCAAACAGTTATTTTTACAGAATACTTTCGCTTTAAACCGCTACTTAACCAGTTAAAATCTAACCGCTAACATCTAACAGCTATTAAAATAATTAATAGCTGCTAAAATAACTAAATTTGCCGAATAAACCCGTAATTTCTTTAAAACGTTAATGTTATAAGTTTCAACAGAGGGAATGAAGGAAAAAAAAAAAAGAAGAAAAAAGTGCTAATATATAATCAATAAAATAATATAATTTTACAACAAATAAATATACAAATGGGGAAAAACATTATTGTTAATTTTTATTATTCTCTAAATTGTGAGGCTATTGTTATATTGTAATATACTAACGATACATGTTTGTCATTTGTCATTGTAAATTTTATTTTATTTTTGTGTTTCCTACTATGTAATAAAGAAAAGCAAAATCCAACTAAGAGGTGTGATATAGTTTTTTTTTTTTTTTTTTTTTAAAGAGGTGTGATATAGTTGGTTTATTTTACGTTCTATAGAAATGTGTGGAGTGAAAGTCTCGGAGATCAATTTATAAATTTTACTAAAAAATTATCTTAATTTTTTTTTTTTTTTTTTTTTTGAAGAAAAGAGGTGTGATATAGTTGGTTATTTTACGTTCTATAGAAAATGTGTGGAGTGAAAGTCTCGAGATCAATTTATATTTACTAAAAAATTATCATTAATTTGATGAATATTATTAATAAATATTGTCTATATCAAAATCAAAGCAAAATGCATATCAAAAATTATTATCTGTCAATATTCTAATTTTTGATCCATAATATTTTATTTTTTTTTACCACAATTGAACTAACTCAAATAATTAAAAAAATTAATCGAAATAATCAAAATCTAACTCATTCTTAATTAACGAACTCAACACTTATCTCTAGTTGAAATTGGGAAAGGGCATTACAAAATTACAATGTTGATTACTTATTTTTTTTTATATGAAATTTTATTCTTGAATCTTGATGGATTCCGAACCTAAAACCTACCTCCATTTTTAGTCCTAGTTGGACCACAGGATGCAATTGCAATGCAAGGAAATTTCTATTTGTAAAAGATTCAAATTTCTCCTTGCATTGCAATTTGCATATTCCATAAAAAAATTGCATTGAAGCTTCCAGTTTGGGCCAGTTTCCATTTGTATTTTCTTTTTGTCGCTAATGGCACAAATAGAGCGGCTATTTTAAGAAGAAGAAAAAAGGCCATGTAATAAAATTTAATTAACAGTCAAAAATACTTACTCTACGACTTCATTTTATAATCACGAGAGTGAGGTCTAATGCGCTTCGACCAATTAGATCAATTTATCTTATATATATTTTAAAAAAAAAAAGTATGATACATAGAAATTAATAAAATTTAATTAATTGTTGACTCAAAATCAAACTAAAGGGTCCTCGTAATTGCTTTACAGTAAACAAGATTCCTTGAATATTTCCATTTTTAATGTCCCCAACGACCAACTTAGCTTTCACAATTCTCAATAATTATATTTCCGTTTTTTACACGACACAACACATCATCAATGAAGGATATAAGGAAATTTCATTAGTTATCAAACCTTTAGACACTCAGTTTCAATTATGATTTAAATAAAAAATGGTTTGATTCTAGTTTTGATCAATTTGGTTCTGGTTTTGAATGGTCATGCCTAAAATCATGCGATGTCTTTCGTTGACTAGTGCTAGACAATCATGTAATAATCCTTGTGCGCTCTTTGAGAAATTTCTTGTTTGCATTTAATTTCTCTCTCAAATTTTGGGACCAGACAAAGAAAATTATGGTCATGGAGAAAAATTTGATGTCCCCACTAACTATTTGCTTTCACGGTTCCCTCCAACCAATTTCCTTCTTGAACAAAGACTTATTGTAAATCAAGCAATGGTCTAATTTTTCTCTCCTTACCTTCTTCATACATTACGTGTTCCTGGGTATTAGAACCAGAAAATTAAATCCATTAGCAATGGCAAAATCAAGATTTGTCATACTTTTATTCTTTTCGATCTTAACTACAACCTCTTCTACTACTAACACCTCATCAAACAAAAATGGAAGTCAGTGTTCTTATGCCTTCTGCGGTGCATATGCTAGTTGTAATGCAAATAACACTCCAACATGTTCATGCTTGGATGGGTTCATACCCAAGTCTCCTAAAGATTGGGAGAAGTTAGTTTTTTCAGGTGGGTGTGTTAGAAGAATCCCAATAAATTGCAGTGATAAAGTTGTATTCCTGAACCATTCTGGGGTTATAGTGCCCGAGGAATCTTCTTGTTGGTATAACAAAAGTGTAAGTGTTAAAGAATGTGAGAATTTGTGTTCGAGAAACTGCTCTTGTACAGCTTATGCACATCTAGATCCGAGAAAAGGTGAAAATGGCTGTTTGCTTTGGTTCAATGAGTTGATTCATGTAATTAGACCTGGTGAAGAGGACCTCTTTGTGAGGGTGGCTGCTTCAGAATTGGGTATGTCATTATGTTAGAGACCAACACTCTGCACTTTTCATTTTATTGTTTTTTATTGTTTGGCAAAATTAGCTGTTTTAGTAGCATAAAGCTGTTTCAATAGTTTTTTTTATAAAACTCTAAAATCTAAATGTTACAGAATTAACTTTTTATAAAACGCTAACCTTAAGAAAAGGTCGACTATATTTTTGTGGTTTCAGCTCAAATTCAGAAAAAAAGGTCGACTATCAATAAGAAGGAAACAGGAATTATTGCTGGCACTCTCCTTGCAGTCATTGTAACGCCAATGATCTTTTACGTATGCCGGAGAAATGTTAGAAAATATGGTAAAAACTCTTGAAGTAGATAAGAAACCTAGAAAATGAATAGAAATCTCTCATCTGATTACTTATTAGTGCTTATGTTTATCAGCATCCTATGTTAAAAGAATGACAAGAGAAAGTCACATAATGGATTTTATTAAGAACAAAGGGGGAAAGGAAGATATGGAGCTGCTAATATTTGATTTTAGCACCATAGTTAAAGCTACCGACAACTTTTCCAGCAATAATATGTTAGGGAAAGGTGGTTTTGGACCTGTCTACAAGGTAACATCACAGTTTGTAAATTTGATGTGAACTCATATATCTGTAATAATCTAAACTTATGTGGGTTCCTAGGGTACTTTTGCTGATGGGCAAGAAATAGCAGTGAAAAGGCTTTCAGAAGGTTCTGGACAGGGGATGACAGAATTCAAGAATGAAGTTACCTTGATCTCTAAACTTCAGCACAGAAATCTTGTTAAGCTTATTGGGTGTTGCATTCAGAAAGATGAACAAATGTTGATTTATGAATTCATGCCAAACAAGAGCTTGGACTATTTTATTTTCGGTTTGATCCTCTCTGATCACTTATGCACGACATTTTTACTTTTAATTTAGCATCTTGTTACACATTTTACTAACATGGCTTAGAAACTTATCAGATCAAAAGAGAAGCAACATTCTAGATTGGGAAAAGCGTTTTCACATTATTGGTGGAATTGCTAGAGGGCTTCTTTATCTTCATCAGGACTCTAGACTCAGAATTATCCACAGAGATCTCAAAGCCAGTAATGTGTTATTGGATAAAGACATGAACCCTAAAATATCAGACTTTGGAATGGCAAGAACATTTAGAGGAGACCAAACGGAGGCCAATACAAATAGAGTGGCAGGAACCTAGTAAGTTATGAGTAGACCTACATTTGTTGTATACATTTGGTTTAACATTCTGTTGATGCTTTTTTTGCAGCGGGTATATGCCTCCTGAGTATGCAGTGGATGGGCTTTTCTCAATGAAATCTGACGTCTTTAGCTATGGTGTATTAGTTTTGGAGATAGTAAGCGGAAAGAAAAACAGAGGATTTTCTCACCCAGATCACAACCTTAATCTTCTTGGACATGTAAGAATATTTAGAGGCACATTCTTTTGACTATTTTTTGAACAAAGTTCTGATCTTTCTGGCTCTTTTTCAGGCATGGAAACTATGGATAGAAGAAAGATCATCAGAACTAGTTGACAATACGCTAGACTCTTATTCCATACGTGAAGCTTTAAGATGCATTCATGTAGGCCTGTTGTGCGTGCAACAGCGGCCGGAGGAGAGGCCTAGCATGTCAACTGTTGTTGTAATGTTGAGCAGTGACAGTGCATTGCCTCAACCGAAGCAGCCTGGCTTTTTCACAGAAAGGAATATGCCCGAATCAGAATCTTCAGTTAGTAAACATGGATCATCATCAAGAAATCAAATAAGCACTACATTAATAGAGCCACGGTAGAAAATTTCCATTTGACAGTTGAATGGAAAAGCGATCCTCTTATCTTAAAATTAGTAACTTTAGCTGATTCGCTCTCTAATACATCGTTAAAATCTCAATCTTTTTGTAACAAAACATCTATGGTTTGAACAAAAGATTGAACAAAAAAGAAGAAATCAAAATTCCTCAAATTAAGCTCCAATGGAAGATTAGAGCAGCACAACCAATTACCAGCAAGAATGGCGGGTTTTGGAGCTGGAGAGAAGATGTCGAACTGGTGAGCTTGATAAGTTTTTGCCATTATCAGTTCTCATAAAAATCAAAGTAAGAGGTGTAGGTGATTGCAGTTCAGTAAACAAGATTCCTTAATTAGAAGTGTGAAATGGACATCTTTTTCTTTTTTGATGTCCCGAATGTAGCTTTCAATTAATGTTCCCAATATTTTCATTTTCGTTGTTCACAAGACAAATTATCAATCAAGATACAAGGAAATTTTAGCAATTATTATACGATTATGGGTTTCAAAAGTCGCAGAGAAATCAACGTTGGCACTGCTTATTCTTTGTAAGACTTCTATTTTTCTCCTTTCTCTTCCCATAAGAATCTGCACAACAACACTGGACACCGGAAACAGAAACACGCAAACGGACAGCAACAAGTAATATTTTCGAAGAAATGGAAATATGGGTAAATCCGTAAATACAAAATGTATAGTAGTAATTTTTTTTATATATAGAAATCATTATAAACAATTAAAGGTTCAATCAATATCCAAAAGAAAAAGAGAAATACCATACTCATAGAAATATATGTTTTTCTAAGATTTGTATTAGTTATTTGTTTTATTTATTTTAAATTATAGAAAAATGTTCTGAAATTACCAAATTTTTATAAAATTTCCCTAAAAATTAAAGCTTTTAGACATTTTTGTATGAGAAATGTTTTCAAAATACAAAAACGGAATAATTAAAGAGAGTTTTTGTGCAATACCAGGAACATATAAATCAACCATTATTTGTTTCAGCGGCCAAACTTTTGAACTTAGATTTTATAAAATCAAATCAAATTTGAATTGAATTTTTTTTTTATTTCTCACTTTACTTTCACTAACGATACAAAAGGATGTTCTTCAACTTTAATTTTACTAAGAATTTGGAAAGTGTTTAGAAATAAGTAGCTAATAACATGAGAATTTTTTATTATATTTCTTTTATTATTAAGATATATTTAAATTTTTTTTAAAAAATTCAGCAGCACTTCGGCACAACACAATCAAATCTCAAAATCAAACACACTTTAATAAACACTTCTATATCATACCAACATTCTCTAAAGGCAAAATGGCCACGACTAGGCCTCCAACACAAACACATCATTCATTTCATAACAAAAAAAAAAAAAAATTCATTCTTTTCCATCTACTTGTATTAATCTCTCTGTAACTCCACTCTTTGCTGCAAAGAAAACGAGCTAATATAGCAATCATAATAGTAACCATATAAAGCTAATGCTATTATAGTATAGTAATCACGGCTTTGGAACCATAAAAATGACCTCATCTCAGGCTAGCAGGAAGCAATGCTAATGCAGATTGGATCAAATTTCCTAATTCACCTTTCAAGAAGGAAACTGTATTCTTTAGCATTTTGCATGAACTCATCTCTTCGAGAGTAAGCTTGTCGTGTTGCAGGGAATAATGCTGCCTCTCCAAGTATCTACGAAGACTAGCTTCAGCAACATTAACTAGACTGAGAGAAGCATTTGTGTGCATATATTTTGTAACAAGAAATCCTGCTAGGATCTGCTGATCAGCCATCACAAGCTCTGATATGAAGGAAGGGAATAGTATTCTTCTGAAAAGCAGCAAGACTTCCTTCTGGGTGTCTACACGTTCTTTCTTCCTTTTCTCTGTGATACTCGATAACTGGGCCTCCAGACACCGGCGACAGAAATTGCCCGCCAAATAGCAAAGATAAGAGAAAGTAGTGCCATATACAGTTTTGGTTATTATAGTTGATATAATCTTAGATGATATCACAAGAATGAAGAACTCATTATCCCACCCAACTGTGTCAGAGATGCCTCCTCGTTTCAGCCTTTCTTCAACTACATCCAAACACTGTAATTGTATTGAATTGTAGGGCAGAAGAAGCCCAAACTTCAATGCCACAAAGCAGTCCATCTCAACTATAACCTGACTCAATTTCCAGGCACCATCTTCATCCAGCAATATTCCATTAGATTTTGATAATGACTGGTCAACAAGTGTTAGTAAGTCATTGAAGCGTGATACGGTAATCAGTTTTTTGAATATCTCCATCCAACAAACATGTAAAGGATGAATACTGAAGGAGCTCTCAGTTTTGTCTTTCTCGAAAGTTTCTACTTCCTGAAAGCTTTCCCATCCTTCGTCCCAATCTTCAGAATTCCAGTCAGTATTACCTGCTTCAGAAGTTTCTGCACGATGTGTTTTCTCTACGAAGAACCCTTCCCATTCTTCCAAGACTGTTAGTAACACATCAATATCAGCATTTGAATTGGACACTTCACACAACTTCAAAAAGCAAGAGACAGCTGTCTTCACATTCAAGAGATCGTCAGGAGAGATTTCTAGGCTAGGAGAAATGGCTGCCACAAGCTGAGAGGATTTTAGAGCAACTAAGGTACTTGTGAACTGAGTAGAAGCATCTGTGTTATCTAGCAACCCAAGATTAGCAGTCGTTTCGCTCCTTGTAGAGAGAAACTCATCCCATCCTTCCCATGGAAGAACTTTGGATTGTAGCTCTGCAGAGAAACCCTTAATATTTCTACCCCTGATCAACTGCATAAGCTCTAGAACATAAACTCGAACTTGACTAGGCAGCTGTGAATTATCAGAGAACTGGGCCATTCTTTCCCAAACTACCTCCCTGACCCTCTGCAAATTCTCCAGTTGACCTTCCAACTTACTCAAAGACGATAACAAATGATACAGATTCTGGTTTTCATGGGATCCACTCTCCAAATCTTTTAAAATAGGCTCTAAAATATTTGTGTAGAGATGAAGAATATCCTGAGATTCACAGTTACTAGATGAAGTCGAACTTGTATCATGCTGTGATATTGCTTCAGAGAACACTTCTGAAATGGCTCCAGAGTCACAACCCGAAAATACCATGGCTTTGCAGAAAATCAGAATTTCAACAGCAAAATCATCAATCAACCCATTAGCGACATAGCCGGCAATGGTGTCCCAGCTCTGACTTGGTGATACAATGTCCTCCATCACCAACCTCATAAAAACTTTCAAGCAACTTAACAAGCTTCCTGGATAGAATCCGAGTTTTTTTACAGAGCTCTCATTGGATGCAATATCCTGCATATCTTCAGTCAGTCTGACCCAAAAGTTCAAAAGGGTTATGAGCCAATCCTGCCATGTTGAGTTGTCTGGAATACTCTCATAACAATCATGCAGAGGTACCATCACAGTTAAGTATTGCTTCATAATGTCCAGGGCATCCGAAGGTGCCAAAAGCCTTATATACATTTGAGAAGAATCATAGGTTAACTCAAGTTGACTAACAAACTTCTGAAACTTTTCTGGGTTTCTGTCATTGAACTCCATTCTAGTCCTACTTTCCAAAGTTGTCAACAAACTTAGAACATAAACTTTATACACATCCTGCCACGACATGAGACCTTCAGGCACTGAACTGGTATAGATACTGGTCAGTGTTTGCGCCATTTTTGCCAAGTGCTCCAAGTTAAATTCATTGATGTGTGCACACACTTCACTGCGAAAAGATTGGAAATTCAGACCATCTAATCCAGCAACATTCTTGAAATTTAGGTTCTTAATGAAGGAAACCCTTTGGCACTCTTGCCAATGACCTTGTATAAATGAGCCAACTCAAGAGCAGGTAAATGTGATGAAAATTGGTCTGTTGCTAGTAAGGATTGTTTTTCCTCCAGCTGCAAGTAGCAGTCAGAGAGGAGACCATAAATACAGCCAAGTCGCTGCTTGTTGCATCCATCTATTACAGGGTACACGACTGTGGAAATGGTTTTGATGGTTTCAGAAGCACAACCAATTATCTCTCCTTTGACTTCTGAGATTTCGGCCATAATATCATTCTCAGTCCAAACCTCGGAAACGAGAATAGAACTAAGGTACTGAAGAAGGACCTGCGGAAGGAAAAGAGAATATGTTAATGTATGCAGTCAAACAAGCATGTGACTAACAACTACATATGTTCAAAGATGAAGGCAGGGAGATCCACATACCCCAGTATGATCTAAACCATAAGTGTCAGCTAATTTCAACATATCCTTCACAACGCGTTTCTTTTCCAACTTTACTGATTCAGCCAGGGAAAATACAACAGTCTCAATGTAGTTAAAGTCACCTGAAAGAACGCGTGCAGTTTCAACCCCAGAAATTATGTGCTCCAAAACTCTAGAATGTTCTGCTACACGCTTTTTCTCTTCTAATTTGAGCTTCCACTGCCTCCAGAATGTTGACTGTACTGCATCAATTTTGTTGATCTCATCTGAATTTACAAAGGAAAAAAAATTATAGCATTAAAATGCTAACATAAAGTGCTTTTAACTAACAACAGATACCATATATAAAATCACAAGAATATAATATTAAATGTTTTTTTTTTATTTTTTTTTTTTTGCCAAGTCCAAAAAGATTTAAAACAATTTACCAGAACTAAGTGGTGTGTGCTTCTCTTTAAACTTCTTCATTAAAAGGTCCCTCCTTTGTGAAGGATCATTTGACTCAACTTCAAAGTTATGTAATAAACAGTAAGTCATCCCCACATTCATGATGCTACAAATCTCTTGGTAGTTCTTTCTTATCTTCAGCTGCTCTTCTATTACTTCTACCCCACTAAAGGCATCCACAAGATTCAACAAGAAAGAACACCCCATGACATCCTCCTCTTCTGTAACAGGCAGTTCTATAATTGATTTTGCTAAAGAGGCAATAACATTGTCTTTGGGAGCAAAACCATTTCTCACCAACCAGGAGAGAGTAGTTATCAAGGCTTGTGCTTGTATGCTCACAAATGGTTTTCCAGGAATCAAGTCAGAAAGATTCTTATCATTCACTGCTTTCCGGCTCAAGTCAAGCAACCATGGAAGTTGGAAAGCAGCAAAAGATAAGATTTTTCCATTTTCTCTCAAAAAATATTCCAAATCGATTCCACTCTCAACCCACAAGTTTTTAGCAACTAAAGAAAGTGTATTTTTTACTTTGTCCATGTAAGATTCATAGCCATCACCACTTGCTTCATCAACCAGTTTAGAACAATCTTTGAGATCAACAATATCTTGAATACCTGTAGCTGGAAGTGACATAATTGAGGAATCTTGATTCGTGAAGTTAGAAGAACTCGTCCTAGTCAACATCAACAAAGTATCACACTGGTCTTGCATGTCCAGATCCTTCCATGCATGGAGAAGCTCACCAATAGATTCTTCATCACAGTGACTCAAAGCAAAACCTAGTAGCTGCTTACGAGAGCTTATATCCATATTTTCAAGGGCAGGACCTCTCGCTATTGCAGCACATAAATCCCATATGAGACCATGTCCTTTCTTAGCCAAAACAAGGCATAGATCAAACGCCAATTGCAGATCACCAGCTATAGCAGCTTCTCTAGCAATAGCTTCCTCAACAGCTGATATGTCATCTGAAGAATTCAATCCAAGAAGCTTAGCAACCTCAATGAGTTCATCAACATGTAGATAAGCTCCAGGTTGACTAGTGATTGCCATTTTTACAATCTCCATAGGATCCCTTATCTGCCTGAACTGCATGGGTAGAAGAGACACTCCAAGATTTGGAAGCTTAACAGTTAGTGCCTCAATTGCATCAGCCTCTGGTTTAATCTGTTTGCTACTTGGAAATAAATTTAGGCATTCCTTAGCCTTCCAAACCTGAAAAGAGTTCCATTAATGTAATGAGAAATAAAAAAAACCATTATGCATCAAGTTGAACATGGAACCTGCGACAAAAATACACTAACTTAAAAAAATTTCTGCAGGTTACAAGTATCTAATCTCCTTAAAAAAACTTAAAGGAACTAACTCTTCAAAAGTGCTTTTGAAAACAAAGACATGACAGAATGACTGAAACCATATGTGAAATTTTGATAATAAATTTTGGGATACATCATTCATTATGGATATAGAAAAAGGGTGAACATTTCGAATCCTTGGCAGATTTCATAAACAATGAGACAGAAAACATGGATGTACTTACTTCTGAGCAACAGAGACTAGAAGCTGAGAAAAAGAATTCCCGTGCAGCTTGGATAACAAGATTTTCTGCCTTTTCTAGTGCCAAGTTCACTGAACCTGTACCGTTTAGATAATTGCTTGCCAGAGAAAATCTTCCAGCTTTCAGCAGTCCTCTGCAGAATTCAGTTAACATATATTCTGGATCAAGGAAGGGAAACCATTATGTGCAATTTTGATTAATAAATTTTGGGATCCATCATTCATTATGGATATAGAAAAAAGCCGTGACATTTCGAATCCTTGGCAGATTCATAAACATGAGACAGAAAACTGGGCTGTATACTTCTGAGCAACAGGACTAGAAGCTGAGAAAAAGAATTCCCGTGGCTGAGAAAAAGAATTCCCGTGCAGCTTGGATAACAAGATTTTCTGCCTTTTCTAGTGCCAAGTTCACTGAACCTGTACCGTTTAGATAATTGCTTGCCAGAGAAAATCTTCCAGCTTTCAGCAGTCCTCTGCAGAATTCAGTTAACATATATTCTGGATCAAGGAAGGGAAAAGCCTTCTCTCGCAAGCATTGCATGTCCCGCCACATGCTTGCCCAGTCATTATCCGATCGACCTGGTTGTCGTCGGACAAATTTTGAAAGCATAAGGCGAAGAATCTGCTTTACCCCTCTTTCATCTGCATGGGCCTCAAGGAAAAAGTTCATTGGCTTTGGAACCTGAATACAAATAAGTAACACTGTCATCAATTATTGTACAAAAAAAAAAAAAAAAACTCAATTTTATTTTTCGATTCTGATGATTCAATTCTGGTGCCAATTCACTAGGTAATCTATATATTCCAGCATCATATTTATAATGGCAAAACGATTTCACACATCATTATTACAATTCAACAAAATGATAGTAAAGAGCACATTAGAGGGCAAAATTGTTTCAGATAGAAGGTTGACTACAATGTCGGTCATTGTATACCATAGAAAAGTTTAACAAAGATGCACCTGCAAAAAAAAAAGAATAAAAAATATACAAGCATCATTATGAAAGTCATGCCTAAAAAGAGATTAAAACCTAGAATCGCTATTTTGAAGCAAATGAGAGAAGAAAGTTTAATTAGTAACATGATTTTGAGTTTAATTAGTAACATGAACCGAAATCATGTGGGACAGCACCAAAAAAGAAAGCATATCAAAAGAATCGATTCAATCAATGCCAATGATATAGCAGTTTTCTCAAAATTATTGGCCATACTCAGAAAAACACAAACCTGGTAAAATGCCAAAAGCCTCCCTGCTTCAATATGGCCTTCTGCAAGTTTAAGTCTTTTCTCTAGGTCATCGATATACATTTCAGCATCTGGAAGGTCAAATTTTATTCATTATGTTCACTGCACTAGCAGTTAAATAGTACTTGGATATAAATAATAACATGAGTCAAGTTACTAAAGCACACATATCCATTGAGATAATGATAAAAGGTATCAATTAAAGCCACAGCCTCCATTTAAATATATATATATTTAAAGCCACAGCCTCCATTTAAAATATTTATATATATATATATATTATATATATATATATATATATATATAGAGAGAGAGAGAGAGAGACTAGAATACCCCTAATTTTAAGTGGGAGAAATCGCCTCTTAACTAAATAAAAGCTTTCACGGCCTATTTTCAAGAAGTGCAGGTCTTAAATGCTTATTGTCTCATGTGAGGCCCTTGTTTAAACACGATAAGCAAGCACCTGCTTCAATGTGCCCCGCCAGTTAGCTTAAAAAGCCAGGTACTTTCTTGCTGTGCCTTAAAGCCTAGGCATGAGACTGTGCACTTTTGATTACCTGCCTGAACATGAAAGACAGAGAGTTCCTCTAAGCCAATTCCTAATCCTATATCAACAACTGAAAAAGTGGCATGCAAAGACTAATATTATTACATTATTAATTTCTATAAATTACAAAAATTAACCATTCCATTTTTATTGATTATTATCCATTTCTTTCCAACACGAACTTTACCATGTATATGGGTGATACGGTCAAGAATAAAAATAAGATGGCATATCTCTCATAAAGCCACATCAATTAAGGGTAAGGCATGTTCCCATCTTTCCTTATCCACATATCATTCAGACTTTAAATCACACCATGGATAAAGCCTAAATCAAAGTTATGAATCAACGGACGAACGAGTAGTTAATTGGCAAACCATGGTCTAAATCCATGGAGTATAAGGAATTGAAATTTTCTAGAATAGGAAGTAAAACAGGAAGCTGGCTAGGAGTCCGGATCCAAGTATGTGTTTAATTAGGAATACAACTATAGCTCTAACTATAATTTTTTTCACTACAGAAAGGATTTTCTCCAATAGCAAAAGTATGCCTACATGATTCTAAGAGTAATTACGCATTAACCTAAGCTCTCAGTTGACTAAAACATCACAGTGATTACAAGCTAACCCTACCCAATTTCCTGTCTTGAAGGTTCCAACCATCAGGGAGCATCAAAGGAAAAATCTCTAAAACCACATCAATTGTTATACAGAATAGGAAGTCAAGAAAGTTTAAATACAAAGAGATAAAAACCTTAGACTTAGAATGATCCATATTTAATTTAGGTCCTACGGGGGGAATATAAAATAGTTCCTAGTTTTTTAGGCTTTTATTCATGTGTCTATTTCAATTGCTGATCAGGTAGTCAGAATGAAGGGTGGTTTTGGAATTTCTGGCTGCACTAGAAACTCTGTCCCTATTTCTTTAGGAGTCTCTTTTTATTTATTATTTTCAGTCTCATTGTTGATTTAGAGGATTTTTAGGAGATCCCTTATTTTCTTCCTTTATTGTATATTTTCCTATTTAGATGTAGGTGAATGTGTGTATATATACCTTAGTGTAAATCACACAAAATATACAAGAAGAAATATAGAAAATTCTTTTCTCCCATATTTTTCAGAAAAACAACACTCATTTTGGAGGTTTTGTGAGTTAGGATAATAATATTTCTTTTAGTTTATTTTGGGAATCCAAATCCTTACAAGATGTGAACAAATTTTGAAATCCTATTTTTAAAGGTTTAGGAGTTGCTTTAAGTCCTTTGAATAAATGTTACTATAAGTTTAAATCTACAATTACATAGGACCGTAATACTTTTAATTCAGTTTGTTATTCAATTAATAAAAGAAATACAGAATTTATGCTGCTTCGAGTTGAATAGTGCAATTCATGTGTGATGCCTAAGAACTTTTTGTTTAAGCCTATAAACTTATCCTTCTATTTACCATCCACACATTACTAACACAAGTACTATTCATCAATTACTATTCACAACTAATCTTAACATTTACTATTAACAGTAACTGTTCACAGACACTGTTCGCAGTGCCATTACAGCTCCATAATCTCTTTTTATTTTTATTTTTTTCAAACTTTAACTCTCTTAACATTTTTCAATAACACCCTAATTGTTCACCTAAAAATATTCCCTTTCTGGCTTTTGATTAACCTAAATTCAGCCACAATAGCCAACTCTTCAAATTGTCTGATGTTGGTGTGTGACACATATGCAATTTGTTAAAGTATCAGAGAAACAGAAGCAAGTTGTGAGCATGTACCCATGCTATGCGTTAGAAGGATAAGATTAAAATAACTGCTCTGGCTACATGTAAACCATTCGGCATGCAACCCTAAGAAAATATCTATTTTCTTCAGAAATTTACTAAGCATGAGAAGCAACTAAATCACATCTTGTACACTAAACTCACCTTGCGTGTGTGAAATCTTTGACAATATCGTAGCTAAGGTACTCCATCTATCTGTAACTGTGCACAAATATACACATTGCAAAGCACAATCCGCAGCTTCGGTTTTATCCTTGAAGAATCCATTATCTTGAAATTCCCTGCATCCTTCCTCAATAACTGTCAAGCATATGTCTAATTCATTTTCCAAAGCAATCTCCTTAAGCCATCTGACCAGAAATGACCCATCCTTGGGTGAAGAGAAATGGAAATCTTTAATCTGCTCTTGATGAACAGGGGCCAGGTCATGAAACCTACTTTTCATAAAAGGAATTGCCTGTTCATGCAACTTTTGTACCACATTTTCTTCCTTAACCGCCTTGAGCATCATTCTGAACTTTTCATAGTCAGATAATTGTTCCCACTCCATAAGACTAATATCAAAGCATATATTTTCATCATTCTCATCACAATACATAAGCTGGTACAAGTATGAAATATCCTCATGAAATTGCTGTAATTCATGGATACCTTTCCAGCAAGCCAAGCCAACCAGGCTGAGACAGTTCTCCAGCTGGCCACTATAGCAGTCAATATCTCTAGCTCTATTCATGTACCATTTACAGAGTTCATTAATAGATGGCCAAACGCAACCTTGGCACTGTTTGACAATAGGCTCCGTTCTGATCTGGATATCCATCTCATGATTCTCAGGCAAACTGATAATAAAGGTTAACATCTCTCCACATTCAACCCAATCTTCATCCCTAAGAGAAACACCCATGGGAAGGGATCTTCCAGGAAGGAGCTGTCCATATGTTTGAACAGGGATGGTCTCAGGAACAGCAGATAGTATTTCCATTATAGATGGAGAAAGAGAATAAGTATGACGTTTAAAGAGCAGGTTTAAAGCACCAATTTTCCCACTTTCAGCAAGTGTTACCGCAACTTCACCAAGCGGCATAACCCTAAATTTCCCATACTCCTGGACAGAAAACCTGCACAAGACTATGTCATTAAACTGTTAGTTTGGTAGCAACTGTCGAGAAATGGAAATGCATACAACATAAAATCATAATTATTGACTCCTATAGTAGAGAACATATAATAACTAATACTCTGAGGTTAATTTGGTAATATTATAAGGTACAGTTTTTTAGTTATGCAATAAAATTTGCACCTTACTGATTAAAAGCAAATTCCCAAGCAAAGAGCCTATCAAAATGAATTGCAAGATCTTTACAAGCACATTTCTTTTTAACCATCTATGCTGATTAGGCTAAGCATATGATATGACTTTGGAAAAACGATACCTCAAAGGTCAGCCATCCAAGTTCATATAAACCCCACATTGAAATCAGATACTTTCAATAAGGGATTCAGGTCACAAAACTTGTAACCAGAATTATAACAGCATATAACACCATATTTTGAATGTCATTCACCTATTTTCGGTTTTTTGGTTTTCTCTCCCTGTAGGCAAGCTCCCTCTCTCTCTCTCTCTCTCTCTCTCTCTCTCAGCTTGCAGTCATTGGGTTTATCAATATAGGTTTAGCTTTATTCACCTTAACATTCTCCTTTGCAAGAAGACAAAAATAATATAACAAAATTATGAAACTGTATCCAAACTTAATTCACAGAATTCTACTTTTCAAAAGGCATCTACAGAGCATAATACCTGCCCATGTTTATTCCCATAAATGTTTCTAGTCTGTCTCTGAATTGCAACAACTGAAGCCTAGCCAAATGGAAATCCCAAATTTGGCTTCTTTGATTGTCTTCTGATTCTGAAAATCGGTACTGACCAGTTGCATTCAGCCCATATGCAAGTAATGCTTTCACAGCATCTTCTGTTTGTCCAACTTTGTTAATGCATTCAGATAATACAAAACAAGGATCCTTAATTTTTGATAATAACACATTTATTTCATTTATTCCTTGGCAAGAGTGTAACCACTGTGATTTCAAAACTTCATCTATGTCCAAACCATGATGATTGGCAAAGTCCACGGCTTCCTGATACTTATGGTTGCTGATTAAGATACTATACATTTCAGAAACAGACCTCTCTGAAATTGATATCAATCTCCAGTGTGTGGCTTCAATGATCTGCTCCACGTGGTGTGAGCCTCTTGATTCTCCAATATTATTAGATAAAAACTTTCTTTCTTCAGATGATTTGCTCTCTACAACAAATATGTGTCCTTCAAGCTGCTCTACTCTATCTAAAACAGGCATTGAATATGCAGGATCATTTTCTTGAAGTTTTAAGCCCGTTAGGATATCAAAGAAGGTGACAGTGCCACCCCTCCTCACAAGAGTCACAATATGATCAGACCACCAAGTAAAATCCACATTATCATACAAAAGTTCATCCTGCCAGTTTATCGCCTGTAAGCCTAATCTCTCTCCAACAGCAAAGTGAGAAAGTAAGCATTGTTCTTGATCCAGCATAAAAAAGTGCAAGCATCCTCTTATATCTAAAGTAGCAACAAATTTTCCTTGGGGTGATATAAGCACCTTTGGATATGCTATCTGATCTATATAATCTTTTGGTTTACAATATAAGCCTTCAATTTGAAAAGAGAATAGTGACTCTAGATTTAAATTTGGACATTCACGCCAAAGAGAAAGAGAACATGATCCTGTAAGAAAATAAATACACGATCAGCATGGAACTTAAAAAAGTATAGTAAAAAAAATAAACTTTCCTGAGTATCCAGATTGCAATAACCAATTCATAATAGAATCTTCATGGGTTCTGATCAGGCTCAAGCATGCATAACAACATTAGGATCCAATTAAAAAGTTATCTTTCTTTTCTCCTTCAAGAAAAAAAAAAAAAATGGAGTCTTCTATAGAGGACAAAAAATTTATCCTGTAAAGTAAAAAGAAAGATACAAAGAAGAACATTAAAATAAAGCTAAAAATGTAATGCCCTCCAATAAAGTTGGAAAATTCAAGGAGAACCCCCGTAAATGATATGGAAGCCTAACTCCACATAGAAGCCAAAAATACCTACTTGTCCTACCACAAACTAAAGGACATACTTTCATTTTTGAAGATACATGCATTTCTCTCCATCCTCAAATGACATAACAACGCCAAATGTAAGAAAGGCATAGTGGCAAAGAATTTTTGCTTCTTTCATACCACCAAAATCAATCCATTTTAACCAAAAATCATCTCAATAGGTTCTGGACACACCCTACTCCTACAAAATGCAATAATTAGTATCCCAAATAAAGCATATATTGATGTGGCTTAGAAGACAAAAGGACAGATAACCATCCATGGTTTTAGAAAATAAAACAAATCATACTCGATAGTCTTCTAATCTTTGGTACCCACACAAAAATTGCAACTCAAAATTATAATACAGAATCATATAATCAATTATAGCATCTCCTCGAATACAAGCTTAACTTGAATTTTACAAGGATAATAAATGATACTAAACCATACCAGATTTCCCACTAGAGGTTAGTGAGGTGCTAGCAGCACTACCAATGACAAGAAGCAAAGAATGTTCCAGATCATAGTCAAAGCAGTAGACATCCTTGGGGAACTATCCCTTCATAGGTCGCCCAATATTTGATGTGTGCATGAAGGAAATAGAAGCAGCTTGGTTGATCTCAATATGGTACAAAACTCCATCTTCTGTGAGAATGATGAAGCTACACCTGAAAACATTTCCACACTTAATTAAATGTCAAAACTCTTCAACCTCTAAAGCCACATGCATGATGCATGCATACATGTACAATATTGAAAACCCAGACCAAAGATGAATTTCTACAAAAAAGCTAATTCTAATAGAGGTCTAAGGCGTCCCATCTGAACTCAACTGATAGAGAGAGAAGGGATAACACTTACAAACAAGAGCCACAAGCATCAATACTGTCATGCGGAATCAGTCCTGTTATTGGAGAAGTCGTTTTTAATTGTCTCTTCATAACTCTGGTAATTTCTTCACCATTTGCTTTGATAAAATAGAGAACATCATTGTCATCAGCAATTCCAAGAATATCAAGAGATCCTGACCAAACTCCATGGACAAATGTACCAAGGTTGCTACCTGATTCATGAACCAGAAATTGGACAACCTTAAGATTGAAGAGGCAAAATACAGCAAATAAATCAGAAAACTAGCAGAGGAAACTCTCTAGATTCCACAAGATGAATTTACATGACGTTTTTAAGAAAATATTTAAATTGGATGCTTATCATTCAATGTCCTTCCATATCATTGGGCTGAGAATAAGTCAATTCCACATTAGTATTTTGGTAGTCTTTTTTCTTCAATCTAAGAAGGTTTTTATGAGTAAGTCACAGAAATTGTATTTAAATTGGATGCTTATCATTCAATGTCCTTCCATATCATTGGGCTGAGAATAAGTCAATTCCACATTAGTATTTTGGTAGTCTTTTTTCTTCAATCTAAGAAGGTTTTTATGAGTAAGTCACAGAAAAGAGTTGACTTCAACACATCTATAAAGGAGCTAAAAGACTTTTTCACCAAAATCAAAATCAGAAGCAGAGGTATATTCTTTTTTATTCAGTTCAAAACACTGTTTCACCTATCCAGCCCATGCAGAATTGACAATAAAGCAGCCATTTCAATGTTAATATTACAAGCCTTTTTTGCAGCATAATATGAAGAATGAAAAAGATTGACATACAAATGACTTGTTATCTCCAGAAAAATTTATTCTTCCAATCAAATTTATTTGCTACTTGTAAGTTATAACACAATGTTATGAAATTGGCAAGTAAATCTTACTGGTAAATATGCCATATGGCTCCTGGTAGTCATCCTCCTTCCGCAAGATAGTAATCTGATTCCCAGTAGCAACAGCCACACGTTCACCTCTTGGAGAGATAATTAAGAATATTGGTTTCCTATTTTTGATGGGTTCCTGTAATCCCTCCATTTCTCCTTAAGTTGGCTTATTTCTAAAGTAGTATTAATAGTGAAGAAAAAGTCAATAGAGTAATTGCATAACAAGCCTACTATACCAGTGATGGACATCAAAATACAATTCATTAAGGGGCAAGACAAAAGCAAGTCTAAAAAATTGAATAATCATAACAGTATATGAACACACAGGTTCAGTGGCTTCTTAAGGTAAAACAGAGCTCAACCCTAGCAACACCAAACACAATAATTCAGTAAATCTAACAAGTATCAAGATTAGCTAGCCATCAGCTAATGATATAACTCGGTAACATTGTACAACATCAAAAGAGACAAAAAAGGAACCGAAAGAATCTGAAAAAATTAGAGAACTCAAAGTACCTGAAACTGAGATGAGTGAGGACGAAACTCCTTTTCCGTCTTCATTTCTCTGAATCAATCAAATTAAAACCATAAAATAAAGACGAAGTTATGAATATATGATATTGGAATTGGGGAAAGTAGAGATTTGCTTTAATAAGGAGACAAAGAATTCAGAAAGTGACCTGAGTAGGGTAATTGGACTTGTACGGCCTGGTGGCATGATTACGAGTCTCGTAAAGCACTTCTCTGGCTTTCACTCCCTCCATTGCGAATGGTTATGAATCCTTCAAATCCTATTGGAACACCAGGATGAAGCACTTTATTAATTTGCCATCAAGATCGAACACTCCATTTGGAACTAGTTATATACTACAAAAAAAAAGGCTAATTTTGGATTAGATTATGCCTTTTTTATGTAATTTTTTTCACTTTTGAGTTTTTATGTTTCCTACACATCTCATTTAGAATATACACTATCAATTAATAAATCTCCCTTGACGACAAGAAACATTAATAAGCAATTTGTTTGTGTACATGATAACTCTCGAATTCTAAAAATTTAATTATGAGAGAAAATGTTAGTTTCCTTCAATATTTTAATAATATTTCACCTAATTATCATAATTTTCACCTAATTATCATATTTACTGAAAAATATGCACTGAATTTGGTTTGCTTCAATCTTTTAATAGTACCTCTTCGCAAACATATTTTGTCTAATGAAATAAAAATTATAAGCGGATTGAGTATCAATTAAAAGGCAATTGCTTGAAGATTAACATTCATCCACAAAGTATTTTCATATGATAATCATGATATAAAAATGACTAGAAAATGAAAGCAAATCAAGCATGTAAATTCAGTTATTAAAAACAATATATACAACAATAACAACCAAGCCTTAGTCTCAATCTAGTTGGGTTCGGGTGTATGAATCCTTTATTTCAAATCTCGAATACATATCATTAATTTTAAAAGTTTGGTAAGACTTATGTCACGACCCAAAACCATGGGCTGGACCGGCACTAAGGCTCAGATAAGCTTAAGGCCACCAAAACCCATAGTAAGCCTAAGACACTAACTATCATTCTTTAAGTTCATTATGAGTATTTACCTAGCAAGCCCAATACAACAATTTGATTAAACATTTATCCAAGCCCGATTTAGTTGCAAGTACATATATATCCATCATTCATCAATTTCCATACTCTTACGAGCTTAACAAATATGTTTTCAAGCGCATTCATTATCATATTCAGTCAAATATCCAAAACATAAAAGCACTCACAGACCCATGTTCACTCGACTAGGGTTTACTTATCATATAAACTTTCACAAATACAACACTGCGACTGTAATTGCGGGTATCTACTATTGTTACAACAATAAAGGAGTTCGACAAAATAAGATTGATATTCAAATTCTAATTATTACTTCAGCCAGCTCTGCAGAGAAAGAAGAATAGAGCTTCAGCCAAATGTAGAAGCGGAGAATTAGATTCCTAAAAAATTAGGTGAAGCGAGGGTGAGTGTTTTGGCTCAGTGAATATTAATAAATAACACATATCCACAAAAGTTACACACCATGGTCCTAAATATTCTAAATACAAACATTCATTAAATCACACATATGGCAAAACAATAGCACCCACAAACAATATCACCTTCACATAATCAAACAAGTAGAGATTGGTTTATGGAGTCACCAAAACCTCCAGCGAGCCGTCCTTACACATAGCCCGTCCTCTCATAACGTGTGCACCAGGGAGCCGATCCCCCATACATCTCCGACTGATCTAATCCTCACTAGACCAGTCCTCTCATTGTTTTTCTATTCTCTTTTTTGGAGGTCACCTTGTGGTTTTCCATCTAATCTATGTCATCATATGCACAAAGGGGCACCAACCTCCCCATACATGGCGGACGGTATCATAGACCGTCCTCACGAACCCCATAGTGACCCACTTCATCTCAATTCCTCGCAAACGTGGCACATCATTATCACAACACATGTAATCAAGAAGTACAATCAAATGCAAGTACATCAAATAATTAAACAATATCATGCAAGTGCAAATAGACATTCATATAGAAATAAACATAAAAGTAATAAATGCTAACAATATAATAATAGGTACTCGGATAATAAATAAATAGACAAAACGTATATAGTAATGACTTTATGTATAATGCAAAAGGTATAAACTATTTATTCTTACTCATAATAATTGATGAGAAAGACTCTAATTTGGATTTTGACTCGTCGGAGCAGTGAATGAACTAGCGTGATCTAAACGAAATGGAATTGGAAGGAGAGAAAAGAATTAAATAAAGCACTCTCTTAAATAAGAATAATGATTATCCTAAATAATCCAACCTGTTTAACAAGTAAAACTAATTTAAATTCTATCGAAATTTCGGCAAAACCTCCACTAAAAATAGGACTATTTACCCATATAAATAATAACAATAGCAAGTATTTATCAATCAAACTCTCACAGCCCTTCCATCGAGCGATCAATCAATTCAAATACCTGTTCTCCTTTAACAACAATACGAACACCCAATCATCGTCATGATAACTCTAAATCACTTATATTCTCACAAATAACCAAATCTTAGAGAAACTATTGATGCATAAATATATTTACACACTCGCGAGTATAAGATAATCATAAAACAGTTTCAAGTTTACATTCATCTACATCTTAACTCTTTTCCACATTTTAACCATTGTTGCATAATTTTATGCTTGGTTTCGGAATAAAAACTAAATTTCAGGTCTAATGCCCAAAGAAAGATACATCTAGTGAGATGAAATTAGCATGAAAATAGCAAAAACACATTGATCGCTAACTCATTCTAAACTGTCATCAGTATTTCCAATCAGTACTATAACTATAACTGTAATATTAAAATACCTAGATTCCTTAAGTAACACCCTTTATCTTAAAGCATGAGATCAACACTTGCACTTAACTATAACATTCTTTTTCACATTATATTTCATAAGTTCATTTACACACAAATGCACAAAAGCATATATATATAATTCATAACTCAGCTGCCATTTCAAACTAAAATTGGTATTCCTAGTTATATTCATAGCTAACTGGCTAATTTGCTTATCATTCAACAAGAACTCATATTTTACTTCATTCCCCATCTCTATTTTATTAAAATTTATCATAATTCTTATTAAATTGCTTGTCAACTGAAGATTAAATTCATACAATTAAGCAGGCTCTACTTCCAAAATTATGGAATTTTGTGTAGCTAGCTACTACCAATTCAACAACATCTCGATTTCTGGGCTAAAAATTGTCCTAAACATGCTTAATTTTTCATTTCCCACCAAGGTACAGGTATACAACATCAGTTCCCATCTTAGTATTGCCAAAACTCATACAAATAGCAACATGGCTGCTGCCAGTTCAAGATATCTCACATTTCTAATCAAAATTTATTCATTTCCATGTAACTTATTCATTTCCATCAAGAAACAGATATGCAACTTCGGATTCCATCTCATTATTGTAAAAATACATAAAATAGATGATACATTTGCTGCCATAACAAAGAAAATCAAGGTTCTCTGTTTAAAACTCATAATTTGTATGCTATCTAATCCATTTCCTATCAAGAATTTGATATAAAACATCACTTCCTTCCTATCATTGTAAGAACTTAAGCAAATAACCATCTAACTGCTGCCATCTTAAGGGGTTATCGATTCCTTTACAAAATTTCGTAATGAACCCTCTAAACTACTCATTCTCTTCCAGCAAACTTAGTTTATAACTTTAATTTGTAGTTTAGTTTAAGATTTCTGCGATTTTTTTTTTTTTTTTGTATGAATAGTACTTAGGAACTCTAACTACAAGAATCTTGAGATTATATGATTTAACTTACAAACCATTGAATGGAATTCTTGGAATGGATAGGAAAAAGTAGAAATCGTCTTACTTTTCTGTAAAAGCTCGCTGGAAGTTGCAACGATTGCCGGAATTGCGATCACAGTAAGTCGCAATCTTCATCTCTGTCTCTGTCTCTCTCTCTCTATCTTTCCATCTCTCGAAACGAGTCGAAAATACAGAAAGGGATAGCCAATATGCGCGTTGCTGCAGAGATTGAAACAATTTTTAATGCAGCTATCGGAAAAATGCAGCAGAGAGAGATGACGCCGGGCGGGATGGAGAGAGAACATGGAGTTCAGGACAAGTCTGGAATTGTTTATTTTCGTTTCTTTTTTTTTTTTTTTTTTTTTTTTTTTTCTATTCGGAAAGATAAAGATTGCAGGCAGAGAGAGATGAGAACCGCCCCAGAGGCAGGGATGAAGAACGAGAGTGAACTATGAAGGATCTAGGACAAGTCTGGGAATTGTTTATTTTCGTTTTCTTTTTTTTTTTTTTTTTTTTTTTCTGGCTACTAGGCAGGTTTGGTTCGATTAATTTTTTTTTTTTTTTTTTTTTTTTTTGGCTACTAGGCGGTTTGGTTCGATTAAGGTCCATTTTAGGCCGGTTTATGTTGCTTTGGTCGAATATTTATTTGATTTTCTTGATTTCTCTATACCCTTCTTTGGTCTGGTCTTAGTTTAAGATAGTTTTGGGTGGGCTTAATCATAGATTTAGTGCACAGAAATTTTTACTTCAATATCTCAACAGGAAAACGTTTCTAATTAAATTTCTGAACCAATAAATTTTCTTCAATCAGAGTCTCTAAGTCGGTGACACCGATTGAACTTACGGAACCCATTTAATATTTAAAAAATAGCTAAGTAGGAGGATTTCTGACGTGTATTAGACAATATTTTGTAAATACAAAAGACAAAATTGCCCTTGGTATTTCACCAAGGCAACTTCTCGTTTAAATCACTCTCATCCCAAATTACAGAGAAAAAAACCCTAGTGCAGTCAGACTCTAACACCGAACGCAATTCAAACTATCAAGAAAACAGTCAACAGCAGTTGCTCATCTCCTTCCTTGGATCTGAACTATCCCTCTTTTCTTGGATTCTTTAACAACGAATCAGAACCTACCCCGAGAAAAGTTGTAGAATTTCATCGAACAGCTACGAATGTGGGAGATGGAGGTGCAACTTATACTGGGAAATTGACACAGTTGAATCATGGATTGAATGTGACTGTTGTGCCAAACGAGTTGGAGTTTAAAGGCAGGAAGAAGAAGCTAAGTTTCAAATTGGTGGTAGAAGGTCCAAGAAAAGTGGATGAAGATATATAGTATTTGGCTATCTCAGTCGGGTTGAATCTTATGGTAAACGCATTTTCAAGAGTATAGCGGTAACGAGCTTGAATTTGGAATACATGGTAATGGGGCCTAATTAGCGGTTCTAACACCTGATTTATATAACTACTCTTTTAGCAGTTATTCAATAAAATGGATTCGTTTAGTATAATGGTTTGATTGTTTTAGAGGACAAGGCTTCAATTCCGTTTGCCGTTAGAATTTGACCGCGCTGGAGTTTCTTTCTTTCTAATTTGAGACGAGAGTGATTTAAAGGAGAAGTAGTAGTCTGTTTCTTTTATTAAGGGTAATTTTGCCCATACTTGTCAAATTGTCAAGTCACAGATCGTCCTATTCAAAATTCAGGATATCTCACTTATAAATAAAGATTTTATTTTAAATAGTTAAAATTTGTAAATCTTTTTGTGAAACAAAAATCATAAATCATTATATTAATTATTTCAATAATTATAGTTGAATATCTTCTTGTTTAATAAAAGTAAAAATAATAATTATTTCAATAATTATTTCAAAAATAATACTCATCCCTAGGGGTTAATGTAGTTTTCTTTAACATTGCAAGTTATAACAAAGGGAATGAAGGAAAAAGCAAAAGTAAAAGTGCTAATATATAGTCAATAAAATAAAATAATATAATATAATGTAACAATATAAAAATAATTTTGCATTTATTTTATATTTTTTATGTTAACATTCAATTTTTTATATTATATATTTTTTATCATGTTAACATTAGATAACATTATTTTCATTTGTTAGAGTTTTGTATTTTATATATATATATATATTACTTTCTCTGTTCTACATTTTTATTTACATTATATCCATTTTTCATATTTTCATATTAACATGACATAAATATACTTTTAAATGTGCAATTAACATCCAATAGTAAATTTTGCTTTCTATTTAAAAATAAATAAAAAACATATTATAGTTGAAAGTTAATTTAAATCAAAAATCGAAAATTTTGACCGTGTGGGCTATAAATGTAATACAATCTCAATTCAAGTCCAAATTTTATAAATTGGGCCCAAGCCCAAAAGCAGATTATTCGGAATTTTCGATTGGGAACACTTAAAATTTTTTATGAAATAAAATGGAACTCTAGTTACTAATCGAATATAAATGTATGTATATGTATGTGAATACTATATAAATTAATTATCCTAAAATCAAATATCATAAATTAAGTATCCTAAAAATCAAATATCATTATAAATTAATTATCCTAAAATCAAATATCATTACTATTAATATTTTTATTATTATTGAGTAAATGGAGAAAATGTTATGGAACCTAACTAAAATAAACAAAATAAATCGAACCGGACCTGAAAATCAATTTGATTTGTCGAAAACCACACCAATAATCCACAAACCGAGTGAAAAACGCGAAAACCAAACAAAATGAGACCAAATCACTGAATCAGACCAAACCGGTTCGAATCGAACCGGAATGGCCTAGAAGCCCAACTTTCTTTCTTTCTTTTTTTCTCTTCTTTTCCTCCTTTTTCTTCTTCAGTCGCGCGACTCCCCCCTCCTCCCTCTCCCTTCCCATTTCCGGCCACCGCTCTGCGAGAACGAGTGGCGATCTACTTCCTCACCCCCGCCAGTCATTTTCCAGCCCTCTCACACGCAGAGGAGCCCCAGCGACGCAGATTAGAGCTGCCTCCTCCGACAGCGCTGCCCTTCGATCCCAGGCGTGTCCACCTCGTCTCCGATCAACGTGCGCATGGAGAGCGGGCCCAAATGATCCTCCGTTGACTTGCGAAAGCTTCCCCTCCACGAAGTTCGCCGTTTGGCTTCGATTTGCGAAAAACGCCAGTGAGGGCGGAGGTGCAGTGGCTGCCAAGCGCGATTCCGGTCGGTTGGCCCACTAAACCCATAAATAAATGATGGATTTGAACTCCTTGCAACTTTTTAAGTCGAATGGAGTGATCGTTGTAAATTTCTGGGCGGTTTGACTTTACGGCCACCGTGCACGGCGGCGGCCCGCGAGACTCCGACGAGACTACAAGAGACAGAATGATCTCCTCTTTGCGCGTATCACGGAAATAAAATCCGATTTTTGATTGGTATATTGTAAGGCCTAGTTACTCATTTTCGGTATAAAGTTCAAAACTCGAATTAATTAATTAATTGGGTATAAGATTAATTGAATTAGTAAAAATTAGAGTTTTATGAATTTCAATACAGATAATTGAGATATATGAACATCGTATATAGAATCGGACTTCTAGGTTAGTTAAATGACCGTAAAGATTTTCACAGAAAATAGAAATGCTTAAATTTCAAGTTATCAATCAAATTAATACGTAAATATCGTTAATTATGATTAATTAAAAATTATAAAAGGAAATTAACAATTAAAGTACATTGGTGGTATAAGTCAATTATATTGTAATGTGTAAATTGAATGAACGACTGAATGATGGTTATGGCGGACGTGATCAGTTGATATGAATTTGCCCAATAGATAGGCTATGTGTGGATTTGTGAAATATATGATAATTTGGATAGTACAGTTTATAGAGAAAATGCTGAATTTTCGACGAAACACTTAGTAAAGAAATTCTTAATAGGTAGTACGATTAAAATTATTATCGTTAGTAATCTTATACTATCAATCCTATTATTATTATTATTAAAATTATTATTATTATTAATATGAGTATTCTTATTAGTATTATTATAAAATATTACTTAACGAATAACTAAACATTTTATTTAAAGGTGATAAATTAGAATAAAAAAACATTTTATTTAAAGGTGAATTAAATAGAATAAATTATAATAAATTAAGAAAAATCCAATAATAATATTTAGTTTAATTTAAATAAAGTGGAATTTAAAATGATTGGTAAACCAAAAACTAATTAAACGAATTGTGAAAATATAATTTTCGAATTAGAATTCTTACCTTAGAATTCTTGTTTTATTTTTAGAAGGTTTTATAAAATTCCGAAATGCAAGGACAAAGACGGAAGTATGCAGTTATAAAGGCAATCCTATTAAGCGACAATAAAGAACTGTGAGTAGTGGTTTTATGATAATTCGCATCATCTGCCTGTATTTCATGCTTTCACTGTTACATTGCTATTCATGCATTTATTTTGTTGAATTTGCCATATTGTGCTGCCACTATTTGTTGACATTAAAAATTGTTGGATTACTTGTGTTGTGATATTGTTGTGTCTTTTTGTGTGGGAAATGGAGACAAAGTGGATCACCATGGATTTGTGAGGACGGTCGATAACGGTCGATAAAGCATGGATCTTGATTATGATGAAATTATAAAATTGGACCGTCGGCCGAGAAAATGGGAGATCGGCGCCCCCGTGTGCACCTGATACCATGGATTATATAGAAACCACAGGGTGGCTTCATATTGGGCGCACCTGATAATATGAATTTTATGGCAGCCTGCAGGGTGGCCTCCTGTTGTGTGCGCCGGAGGATCTAGATTTGACGGAGACGACCGGGGTGCCTTCTATTGGTATGGAAAAGAAAAGAGAGAATGAAAAAATAATGAGAGAACTAGTCATGTGAAAATTAGACTGGTCGGCCAGGTATGGGGGATTGGCTCCCTCGGTGCACACATTTGAGAGGATGGGCCAGGTGAGAGTACGGCTTGTCGGAGGTTTCGGTGATGCCACTGACTAATTTCCATGAAGGTGATAATAATTGTGATTGATGTTGTATTGCCATTTGTGTGATAAACTGCATGATCATTTAACTAGTCGGAGGACTAAAATGATTTATGATAGCATTTGTGTGATTATGTGGGGTGAGAGGGTTATCTAACCCTACTTATTGAGTTTGACGCTCACCCTTGCCTACTATTGTTTTTTTTTCGGGTAATAGAAATGAAGAAAAGCCCCTATTGTGTTGAAACATTAATTATATAAGACTGTTAATGATAGAAATAACGATGTAAATGTAAAGGTAGAGTTCCGTAATTGTATTCCAGTTGGGTTGTAAATAAATAATAAAAGTCCATATTAAATAATAAAAGTCCATATTAAATATATTGAACTATATTTTTGTATAACGATGTAAATGTAAAGGTAGAGTTCCGTAATTGTATTCCAGTTGGGTTGTAAATAAATAATAAAAGTCCATATTAAATATATGAACTATATTTTGTATACGTATGTGAAATAAGTTAATGGGCCTGAATTCACAATTATGAATAAAATGTGAGTTTTAAATAATTTAGACTTACTACGGGTTTGGGGCCTTACGCCCACCTAGGTCCTAGTGCTGGTCCGGGCCGCGAAAATGGATCGTGACAATATATATCTATGAATTATGAATTTCAAACTTGATTAAAGGAAGAAGAGATATAAAAAAACATAAGATAGGAAGATACTTTTTAATAATTTAACAATTATCTTTAAATATATATTAATTAATTAATTAATTATATGACAGGTAAATTAATCATCCAACCAAAATCTTCTGAAAAGATAAATTAATTATTTTTAAAATTTATAAAAAATGAGAAAATAAAATGCTAAGAAAAGAAAGTACCAAGTCAACGTCATAAAATTTATCTTTATTTCAAATTTATATGCAGATATATAGATATAACAATAAAATTTTGTGTATATTTTTGAAAGGCCGAATGCATAATTTTCTCCCTAAATTTTTTTAAAATTGTCATTTGTGCCCCTCAACTTTCCGAGGGACCCTTTATGCCCGCTAACTTGCTTTTTTATAGCTATTGTACCCTTTGTCACGCTAGATCAATGGAGTGTAGGGGAAATCGCTGCACATAGCGTGAACAATGATTTATGGATCTGCCGTGTAAGAAACGGCGTCGTATTACACAATATTTAGCACAAATCTAGCGCCTTTAATAAACTAACTAATTCCCCTCTCCTCTTTTCTTCCTTCTCTCTCTTCGTTCTCTATTTCTCCCGAGAACATAAATTAGGGCTCTTTTAAGTAGATGGAATCACTTCATAGTTCTTAATTTCAAGCTGTAATTGCGGTCAAGTAGCAGCGATTAAGGTTTCTCACACCAATGCGAACCTAAGGAGGTTTTTTGGTTGTAGGAGATATAGGGTAAGTTATGTATTGAAGTCTGAATTTTTTTCTTTCTTTAAAAAAAATGGAGGTTTAAGAAATCATTGTTTGTTGTTTTTATCTTAGAAGTCAGGCGCATGCAATTTTTTTCAGTGGTTGGATCCACCATTGCTAGACCATGTTCAACATGTGATTATGGGTTTACTTAGGCATATCAGGGAATATCAAGAAGAGAGGAAGAAGCACAAGACTGTCTATCGTATTAGCATTGGTCTTTTTGTGATGTTTATTGTGATGATAATGTGGGATAGAGTAAAGAAATGGGCTATGTGAAATTGCAATAGTATGGATTGGGGAAGTAGGTTTTAGCCTTCATTTTGGGTAGAATAGGCTGACTGTAGTGATTTTTGGCATTTGGAGTAGGTACTTTTTGTGTAGTTTGTACTCCCCATCATTATTCATCTTCTATTACTTTGTAATTTCTTAAGTTGGAAATGAAATTGGTAATATTTTCAAAAGATATATGTTGACTGTTGGTTTCTATTTTTCCTTGTAATTTACAATGTAGTAATGTAGCTTCTCTTCAATGAAATTAACAGAAGACAATAAATGCATAGCCAGTAATTGGTACTGTTCAATGAAATTAACAGAAGACAAGAAATGCAATTCCTAGAATTGATCAATTTCCAGTAACAAAAACTTGAATCCAATCTAAATCCCAAAAGAACTAAATATTGGTACTTTTTACAATAGTAGAGTTCATAAGAACCAACTACAATGGACAAAAACTTGAATCCAATATACATTCAAAAATGACAAAAAGAGTAACTAATTGGTAGTAGTCATAACTGTTTCACAACTACCAAATACAATGGACAAAATAGAAAAATATCAATTTCATTAAAGGTTTGTGCTATACTGAGATGGGCAGTTGCTTCCTTGTGATTGCTGACTCATTGCAGAAGAGTTGACTGGTGGTCTTGTAGGTCGGGACTGCCTATGTTGATGTTGCATATCAAGTCTCTGCTGCTATAGTTGCTTAGCTACAACTGCATTTTTGCCCTTCCACTTCAATCCAGGAGCTTTGAACCCCAAATCCCCAGTTACAATAGCAGAGTTCTTCAACTATAATCCATGACTTATGACCATGCTGCCACTATTTAGTGATGACTGCATTAAGATCAAAAGGTTCAGAAATTACCATAATGGTGAAATTACCATAAAACTAAGCATTTCACAAATTTTGGAAAGAAATAAAAAATGCATTAAACCAAACCAAAATAATTGACAGTAAATATGAAACCTGATATGTTGTTACACCAATCCCTTCATTTATGTAAACTCATGTTCCTCTTGGGACAACATGTCTTTTGGCTCTAGAAGCCATTGTTGGATCTGCATATCTCTTTCTATTTGATGAAGGTATTTGTTGTGTTCCTCTAACCACAGGGTTGCTACTCTGACTTGCTTGAGCTGGATTTTGTGCTATTGTAGCTCTTGTACATCTTGTAAAATACATGACAGCAGGTGTAGCAGGAGCTATGCTTTGTTCAACTGCAGATGAAGGCACTGAGAAATGCATTAAATTACCATCTAAATTTCCGAAATGGCAATGAAATGATATAAAAAAATATGCACACCAATGCATTTAATTTAATTCAAGATTGAATATTTACTGCTAGTAGTTGGAGTGAAATTGGTATTTCGTCTTTGAGTTGTTCTTGGCTGACTTGGATTGTTGCTTTGTCTTGGAGTTGTAGCTCTTGTTTGACTTGATGTGCACTTTTTGCTAGGAGTTGGTGCCATTGGAGTTGCAGGGTTAGCATTAGTAGTCACCTATACAAACAATTGCCATCATTAAGTAATTACATGAAATCGATAACAACAAATAACAAATTGAGGAAAATGTTTGAAATGAGTACCTGAGCTGGAGTTGTGACATCCTACCGAGTCGAGTCGAGTTGAACCAAACCCGATTGGGGTAGAATGGGTTTATAAGTGGACTTACTTGATTGAGAGAAAAAGATCAAAGCCCGATTGGGGGTAGAATGGGTTTATAAGTGGACTTACTTTGGATTGAGAGAAAAAGATCAAAGTATGATTGGGTGAGGATTTATGCATAAAAGATTCAAGGCTTGGGTTAAGTGTGAAGCCTTTTCACAATTGAGGTACCATTTAGTAAAGTTTCACATAAACATTTCATGATATTTTTGGGAACCTACCGTGAGCTTCCAAATGTCACTTTTCCCATTTTCATCGTTTTGATGGCTTACCCGTAATAACCATTTCACTTTCCCATTTTCATCTTTATCTTCATCTTCTTCATTTTCTTCCTTTCCTCTTCCACCCCAATTTTAATGGTAGTTAAGCCTTAACTTCACTTTTTCTTCTATCCAAGTAAGTAAACCTTCTTGAAGTTCATAATTGAATATGATATTAGAATTCATAAGAATTCTTATTTATAGGTGAAGGGAGTTCAAAAAGTGTAGAAAAAAGAAGTTAAAGAGGAGCTCAAGCTTGTGGAGTAAAGGTTTGATATCTCTTTTCCTTTACCATTTTCTTGCATGAGAATTTGTGTGGTGTGTTGCTCATGAGACCATATTGCTTTATGTTGAGTGGGAGGACTGGTATTGGTGAGAAAACAGGGGAGAACAGGGGAGGTATTGGATAAATGAAGTAAATATTGAGTTTATGTTGAAATAGGGCTTGCTGGAAATTTTACCAGTAACTTCATCTTGCTTTTGACCCCATTTAGTGATGGAATTAGGAAGTGTCATAGAAGAGTTATTTGTTACTTTGCATGACGAGCTCGCGACTTGTGCCTGAAACTCACTGACTCTCATTTTGCACTTTACGCGCTCGCGACTTTCATTTGCGCGCTCGGGACTTTCACCTGAAACTCTCTGACTCTCATTTGGTGCCTTACGCGCTCGCGACTTGTGCCCGATAACTCACTGACTCTCATTTTTGCATCTCGCGCTCGCGACTTGTGTTTTCATACACTTTTGGACTTCATTTTCTATGCAATTGGATTCCTTTGCTCAACTTGTATGCCTCCAATCATTTTACAACAAAAATACAACATTAGAACATGTATCATAACACCAAAAATACAACATGAAACATGTATTAAAACAACATGCCAAGCATACACTATTGACATCCTCAACTTATGTCCCATTGAAGGTTAGGTTAAAACCATGTAGATATGTCGTGACATAGGATAGCAGATCTGCACCCCATACAGTTCGATACTCCGGCTACAAGCCGTTGAGTGGATATGATTATATATGGGCCATAGCAGCCAATCATACAGTATTCATCCAGTTTCATATAGTTTTTCCTTATCACTTCGGTTTCACTATAACCTTATGGAGCCATACTAATATCTTGACATAACATGGCATGAATCCTACAGTATTATAAAGATCATCAAGGTATAATGAAGGTATCATGACATGTGTGCTTATATGTGCCATATGTGTTTACATGGTTCTTTCTACACATGTATGTGCTAAATTGTTTCTCTTTATTTTTGCTCAGCGAGTTTTTCCTTGTTTAACTCGCAGGTTTTTGAAGTCTGGACCGGTAGAGAGGTCAGCTTCAACTGCTGTAGTTCATCCTGTAAAGACTCGTTCTTCGGGTAGCTACTCATTTTAATGTGTACCTTTTGTCCTGCTCCTTTTATGGCATGTACAGGGACTCAAGTTTGGGCCCATTCCATTTTGTAAACTAGTATCATTGTCTGTAAACATTAATACATTAAGTATAAACACATCAGCATGACTATTTATATTCAATATACATTGTGATTTCAGCATACATGACATAAGTCAACCAGTTTGTTAGCATCTCGACCATTTTCCCCGGGTTTTTCGGGTTTACAGGGTGGACCCGTGGAAGGATTTTCAAATTTTGGTATCAGAGCCCTATGTTTAGTTTCCCCGGGCCTTCATGCATATGTTCAGTATAGTGTACATGCCATGTCACCCTGATGAACTAAGCAGTTGTTTGTTCTTTTAGGAGGATGTCACGGAAGGTGAGAGTGAGTCCACACGCCTCAGAGCAGTGGAGGGGTTGAGGCTCCAGTAAAGCACCAGGTCAGATAAAGCAACTTGCAGATACTTTTCGCCAGATTGCAGGGGTGATGCCTCAAGCACCAATAGTAATAGAAAGAGAAAGAAAGCCCCTACTAGAGAAGCTTCGGAAGTATGGGGCGAAAGAATTCAGTGCCAGTAAGGATGATAGTCCAGAAATAGCTGAGTACTGGTTAGATGGGACATTGAGGGTTCTGGACCAATTACAATGTACACCCGAGGATAAGTTGGTTTGTGCCACATCATTGCTCATAGATGAAGCCTACACATGGTGGACTACTGTTCAACGGCGAGTATCAACAGAGCAGCAGACTTGGCAATTCTTCTTGGATGAATTCAAGAAGAAGTTCATCACAGAGGCTTATCTAGATGCGAGAAGAAAAGAATTTTTATACTTGAGACAGAACAGACTGTCAGTTACAGAATGTCCCAGTTGCCGAATATGCAAAGAGAATTCACCAGACTTGATGCAGCAGGTAATGGTGAAAGCGGATGTGGCGACAGATGGCCGAATGGTGGTAAAAAGTTTCAGGAAGGCCTGAACGATGAGATTCAGATGGGCAGTGGTAGCTTCCAGATTCAGAGAGTTTCTCATCTTTGGTAGAGGCTAGCTCAGGAGATAACGCATTAGGCCAGTCAGCGTACCAGACGCAGCGGTCTCACAGAGGAGCAGACCAAACTCAGAGTGCAACCCAGTTAATATCAGTCAGAAAGCAAAGAGATTTCCAGAGGTGCTAGTAGTTTAGCTGGTCTAGGCCTCCCTTTAGCCAAAGGCACAGCTAGGGGGTGCGTACATGCCTGCGGTATCAAGGTTGTGGCTAGTTCTGCCGGGTGGTTAGTCGAGGTTCAGCAGAGGAACTGAGGTAAGAGGCAACAGTCCGAGGTGCAGGAGTCAGCCGGTTTAAATAACTTTTTCCACCTTGTGAGCATTGTGGCAGACACATGGTGGAGATTGTTGGCTTGGTGACATGGCAAATGCTGCTATGCGGAGCATCTGACATTAGTAAGAAAGACTGTCCTAAGAGGGCAAAAGTTCCTACACAGTTCATAGCAGGCAGAGGTAGAGGTGAGGAGGGCAGAGACAGCAGTCAGAGACTGTGGACAGACCTGATACAAGAGGTCCAGCCAGGGTCTATGCTATGCGAACCAGGGAAGATGAGGAAGCTACAGATGTAATAGTTGGTGAGTTTTCCTTATGTGATCATACAATTTATGCTTTAATTGATCCTGGCTCATCTCATTCATACATTAGTGTACCTAAACCTTGGGTTAAAGGGTTAAAAGTTGCATATGTGAGTCAGGGTATGTTGGTTACAAATCCATTAGGAGATGTAGTAAAAACTCATACAGTGGTCGAAGGATGTCCAATTGTTATTCATGTTGTTATTCATCCGGAAAAGAGTTTCCAGGAGAATCTTATGGAGCTTTGCATTTAAAGAATTTGATGTTATTCTGGGTCATGGAATTGGCTATCCAGACATCGGCTTATAGTTGATTTGTTGCAAGTGTGTTGCTAGTGAGACAATATATTGCTTTATGTTGAGTGGGAGGACTGGTAATGGTGAGAAAACAGGGGAGGTATTGAATAAATGAAGTAAATATTGAGTTTATGTTGAAACATGGGTTTTTGAATCATCCAAATCGGAGTTGTATATTGAGAGATATGACCAAAAGAGTAAAGACAGTGCAGGCTGGAAGAGCGCGCGCGAATTGTGTGATTATCCAGATGTATTTCCAGAACAGTTACCAGGGTTACCACCAAGGAGGGAAGTGGAGTTTACCATTGATGTCTATCCTGGAGCAGCACCAGTATCAATTGCACCTTACAGAATGGCACCAGCCGAGCTAAAAGAGTTAAAGATTCAGCTACAGGAGTTATTGTTTGGACCAAAGGCCTTTATCCAGACCCAGTGGTATCACCTTGGGGAGCACCGGTATTATTTGTAAAGAAGAAAAGATGGATTCACTCCAGATTGTGCATGATACAGACACCTGAACAAACTGACCAATCAAGAATTAAGTATCATTGCCTCGAATCGATGATTGTTTTGATCAACTAAAGGGTTGCAGGGTAATGGTTTTCTAAGATCGACCTTAGGTGGCGATACCATCAGTTGGGATAAAGGAAAAGAAGAATATCGCTTAAGACTACATTCAGGACCCGATATGGTCACTATGAATTTTTTAGTTTCATGCCCCATGTCCGGTCCCTCACAAGCACCAGCGGTTTCCATAGGATCTCAATGAACCGCGTGTTTTCATTCATATCCTTGGGCGGGAAATTCCCAGTTGTGTGGTGGTGTTTATAGATGACATTTTGGTCTCTCCAAAGACAAGGTGAGAGCATGAATAAACATTTGCGGGATTGTACTCCAGACACTGCGGGATAAAACAGCTGTATGCCAAGCTAGTAAGTTGTTGAGTTTTGGCTGGAAGAAAGTTTCTTTCTTAGGACATGTGGTGTCATCTGAGGGTATCAGAGTGGATCCTAAAGAAGAAATGAAGCTATTGTTTGATTGGAGACCACCAGAAATGTCCACAGAAGTTCGAAAGTTTTTCTGGGTTTTAGCCCGGTTAATTACAGAAGGTTCGTAAAGGGGATCCTCTATCATTGCATCACCTTTTAACAAGATTATTAAAGAAAGCAGATCGTAAGTTTTCAATGGGAATGATAGATGTCAGCAGAGTTTTGACATCTTGAAGAAAAAGTTGACTGAACGCACCAGTGTTGACCCAGCCAGTGTCAGGAAGACTTTTGAGATTTAACAGTGATGCCTCTCATACTGGGTTAGGATGTTGTACTCATGGCAAGACAGGAAAGTGGTAGCTTATGTCCTCCAAGACAGTTAAAGCCACAATGAATTGAATTATCCCAACCCATGATTTAGAACTGGCAGCCATTGTTCTTAGGCATTCCAAAGTATGGCGGCATTATCTGTACGGTAAAAGTGTCACATTTACACAAGAATCATCAGAGTTTTAAAGTTATTTACCGACACAGAAAGATTTGAATTCAAGACAACGGAAGTGATGCAGATTCTGGCTAATTATGATTATGTCATTAATTACCATCCGGGCAAAGCTAATGTGGTAGCTGATGCCTTTAGCCGGAAATCATTGTTTGCTTTGAGAGCAATGAAATTAAGTATGGAGTTGCAACAGCAGGAATTATTCTAGCACAGTGCAAGTACAGCCATCTTGGGGTTTCAGCGAAGTTCAGAAGCACAGAAGAAAGAGCACAAACAGCACTATGGGTGATAACAAGTACAAAGAAGATCATGGTGGGAAATTCCAGATTGGATAACAGTGGAGTCTTGTTTCTATGAGGACAGAGTTTGCTGTATCCAACAGTAGGGGAGCTTAGACAAAAAGATTCTGCATGATAGCCATAACAACAGTCCATATACAATGCATCCAGGTAGCACCAAGATGTATCAAGATTTGAAAAAAGGCTATTGGTGGCCGGGCATGAAGAACGATATTGTACATGTTGTAACAAGATGTTTAACATGTCAACAGGTAAAAGCAGAACATCAACTGCCATCCGGGTTACTTCATCCAATAACAGTGCCAACATGGAAATGGGATCAGATCACGATGGATGTTGTTACTGGCTTACCACAGACGCAGCGGAAGCATGATGCAGTATGGGTGATTGTGGACAGATTAACTAAGTCCGCACACTTTCTACCAGTTAAGATGGACTATTCTCTAGACAAGTTAGCAGTTAGCAGATATTTATGTTAGCGAAATAGTTCGACTACATGGAGTTCCATCATCCATTATCGCTGATCGTGATCCAAGGTTTACATCGAAGTTTTGGGGTAAACTGCAGGAAGCATTAGGAACGAGATTGCATTTCAGTACTGCATTTCATCCTCAAACAGAACTAAAACATACTAGACTAGAAAAATAACTAAATTTATCGCAAGTTACTAAATTATGATAATTTTCAAGCTTGCTCACAATTATTCCAACCATATTAAGCTAATGAAACATATAAAACTAAAATTTTAACTAAACGTTTTCTTCCCCCAACTTAATCTAGCACATTGTCTCCAATGTGTGCAAAAATAAGACCACTTCTCCAAACTCATCATATATTATCAAAACAAGGTGCAAAAATAAAAATAGAGTTGAAAACACCTTACTACCATTGTATTGAGAGCCGAGCTAGATTCTGCAAGTGAAAGAACTTTGCAGATGGTCGAGGAGATTAGGATATTGAGTATTCGGTCGGTGATAAAGTATTTCTGAAAGTTTCACCATGGAAAAAGATCCTAAGGTTTGGACGAAAGGGTAAGCTTAGCCCTAGGTTAGCCCGGTTCATTTGGTCCATACGAGATTGTTGAACGTGTAGGACCATTAGCCTATCGCCTAGCGTTACTTCGACCTTAGATCGAATTCATAAATGTCTTTCACGTATCCATGTTAAGGAGATACAGATCAGACCCATCACATGTGTTATGCAGCAAGAAGGATTTGAAATTCAGCCGGATCTCACTTATGAAGCGAACCAGTTCAGATCCTTAGCCAGAGAAAATTTAAAGAATTACGGAACAAGAAAAATAGCATTGGTAAAAGTTCTTTGGGAGGATATAAAGACAGAAGAAAGCAACTTGGGAATCTGAAGAACCATGCGTACAACAGTATCCACAATTGTTCTCCACAATTGTTCACAACAGGTAAACTTCGGGACGAAGTTTTTTTATTTAGGAGGGGAGAATTGTGACATCCTACCGAGTCGAGTCGAGTTGACTCGAGTTGAACCAAACCCGGTTGGGGTAGAATGGGTTTATAAGTGGACTTACTTGATTGAGAGAAAAAGATCAAAGCAGATGGGTGAGGATTTATTTGCATTAAAAGATCAAGCTTGGGTATTAAGTTGTAGCCTTTTCACAATTGAGGTACCATTTAGTAAGTTTCACATAACATTTCATGATATTTTGGGAACCTACCCGTGAGCTCCATGTCACTTTCCCATTTTCATCTTTATCTTCATCTTCTTCATTTTCTTCCTTTCCTCTTCCACCTTTTTCAATTTTAATGGTAGTTAAGTCTTAACTTCAACTTTTCTTCTATCCAAGTACGTAAACCTTCTTTAAGTTCATGATTGAATCATTTGGTGCTATTTTTAGAATAGTCATAAGAATTCTCATTTATAGGTGAAGGGAGTTCAAGGAGTGTAGAGAAAAGAAGTTAAAGAAGAACTCAAGCTTTTTGAAGTAAAGGTTTGATATCTCTTATATCTCTTGTCATTTTTCCATTTTCTTTGCATGAGAATTTTGTGTGGTGTGTGGCTAGTTGAGACAATATATTGCTTCATGTTTGAGTTGGTAGGACTGGTAATGGTGAGAAAACAGGGGAGGAAGTGAATAAATGACCGTAAATAGTGAGTTTAATGCTGAAACAGGTTTTGCTGGAAAATTTTACTAGTAACTTCATTCTTGATTTTGACCCCATTTTAAATGATGAATTAAGGAAGTGCATAAGAAGAGTTATTTGGTTCTCTATGTGTTAGCTTTAACATGGGTTTTGATCACCCCCAAATTGGAGTTTTTATATTGAGAGATATGGATCAAAAGAAGTACAGACTGCGGTCCTGCGCAGGTTGGAAACGCGCGCGCGCGGCAGCGAATTGCATGACGAAGCTCGCGACTTTGTGCCCGATATCCACTGACTCTCATTTGCACTTTAACGCGCTCGCCGATTTCAACTACTGCGCGCTCGCGACTTGTGCCGATAACACACTGTCCTTCTCATTTGCACTTCTCCTGCTCGCGACTTTGCACTGCGCCTCGCGACTTGTGCCGTTAACTCACTGACTCTCATCTAGGTGCTTCTTCGCGCTCCGCGACCTTGCAAGGGGCGCTCGCCGACTTGTGTTTTCAATGCACTTTTGGACTTCAATTTCAATGCAATTGTATTCCTTTGCTTACCATATATGCCTCCAATCATTTTAGCATCAAAATATATCATGAGAACATGTATTAAAACACCATGCAAGCATGCAAATGATGTGAACTCATATGAACATTATGATTTATGAAGTGATGAACTATTTCTATGATGTTGTGTTATACTTTTGACATACCAACATGATGCTCCATTGAGGTTAGGTAGAAACCACGTCGATAAGGCCATGTCGCGACATAGGATAGCAGATTTGCGCCTCATACAGTTTGTTACTCCGGCTACAGGCCGTTGAGTGGATATGATTATATGAGCCATAGCAGCCAAGTTATGGAGCCATAACAGATTATCTTTGACTTAACATTGCATGAGCAGAAAGAAAGATCAATGATATGTGTGCTTATTATGTGCCATAATGTGTTTACATGATTCTTTTTTATAACATGTATGTGCTTCTTATGTTTTTTATTATGTTTGAAGATATCCACTGAGCTTTATTTGCTCAGCGAGTTACCTGTTTAACTCGCAGGGTTTTTTTGAGTCTGGACCGTAGAGAGTCAGCTTACACTGCTGCAGTTCATCTGTAGAAGACCTCGTTCTTCAGGGTAGCTACTCATTTTAATGTGTACCTTTTGTCTCTCCTTTTTATGGCATGTACAGGGCACTCAGTTGGGCCCATTCCATTTTGTAAACTAGTATCATGTCTTGTCAACATTAATACATTATTAATGTAAACAACATCAGCATGTGATTATATTCAATAGACATTATGAGTTCAGCATGACAGGACATTAAGTCAACCAGTTTGTAGCATCTCGACTCGGTTTATTCGGGTTTACGGGTGGACCGGGAATGGATGTTACAGAAAAAAAAACTATATATTTTTATGTCAACTTTTGTAATTTCAAGGATCTGTATTTGTACATATATTTATTTTTTTATTGCATGAAGTAATACCGTTACTATAGTCAAAGTGATTATTAATATAGACTCATGTTATTTTTAAACAATTCAAATCACTTTTTCATTTTTTTTTCTTTAACTAGCTATAAGAAATAATTTTTATTTTTTACTTTTTCATAAGAAATATATATAGATATTGATTTAAGGTTGGAGACAGAAGGTTGGGGACAGGAGATTGGAGATTGGGTGATGACTTGATTTCCTTTTTTGGGCATCTTCTAGATTCAACTTTATGTGGTTCATGGCACAAATTGCATGTTGATATAGAATGCCTTTAAGCTCCCATGACTTGCAATTATATGTCATTTTACCCAAACACACAGTGTGTTGGTATTCTCCTCTACAATTTCAAATCCAATATCCCTATTCCACTTTGGTGTATAATGCATAACTAATAGCTTGTGCAATTCTAATTTTTCCATTGCAACAGGCGAGATATCACAAATCCATGTCTCTACAAATTCTCTCATTCTCACATTCCTCTCCATCACCTGTTGCTTAATCTCTTCACACATGGTTATAATGGATTTCAGTCTGGCACTGAGAATCCACCCATTAAATATCTCAGACATGTTGTTTTCAACCACATCACATTGAGTTGAGTCCTAAAGAGTGCCCTACACCAAGTATTGGTATTATAATACAACAAATTCTCAACAATACTAGTTCCAAGTTTGCTCATATCTTTCAACTTCTCTTTTAATAGCATTTCAAATGGTGCCCTTACCACCTCCTAAAACTTCTTCCTTCTCTCTTCATCCCTCCACTTCTTTGCCCAGTTTGTCCAAATATACCTTGCATACATTCTGTGCTCAACATCAGGTAACTCCTAATTAATGGCTCTGTCCAATCCATATCACACACACAGTTAAAAGAAAAACCACATTTATGCATTGTTAAGAATTTATTAGTAAAAGACAAAACCAAAATGTAAAATAAATACCATAAAAGCCCCATAGCTTCTGCATGTCTGTCACAACTGCCCATCGCTTCCCTATGGTGATATCCAAATCTTGCTTCAAAGTGGAAATGAACCAAAGCCAGTTCCTTATGTTTTCAATATCAACAATAGCCTAGGCAATAGGAAACATTTGATTGTTTCCATCTTTAAAAACAAAACACAACAATTGACCTCCACATTGAAAACATTCTACTCATCATCAATCACTTCTCTACTGTCTGGGTCAAGATCATTTGAGTAGGGTTCATTGTTACCTATTTTTCCTTGTACCTACCATTGATATGATCTTCCCCTCTAAACCCAAAGTCTGCACCTACTTCCCCTAGAGCCAAATTTGCACAATCCTCTTGTCTAGGACCCCTAACTCTTCTCTTGTAAGCCCTTACACTTTGTCTAGCTTGCCTTAACTCCTCATCATTATCACTTGGATCTTCTGCTTCTTCATCCTCACCTTCAGAATCTTCGTCAAATGAAGCTTCACTTCCTCTAGGTACTCACTCTCATAACTATCTTCACTGTTTGACTCATGTTCTTCCTCTATTACATACCCTGCCTCATCCTCAATCCCATCTAATCTAACATTTTCACTACTTGAAGCATTTATTATCTCCACCACATTATCATTAATATCATTGCCCACACCCACATTGTCTAACTCAGCTTCTTTATTAACATCCCCACCAACATTTACCCCTTCTGGATTTGTAATAACTACCTCAAGAAGTCCACGAAACTCTATCTCCTCTGCTCATCCACATCATGCTCAACATACAAATGGAGGGTTTCACCATGACTCAAGACACTACACTCAAGAAGCACATCACTATCCTTGTATGAACAACTAAAGACCTCTGTCTCTCCTACTATCATAGACTTTGCAAATATCTTAAACACATTATTGTACCCAAAAGACTTGGTTGTGGCTTGGAATTCCCTAATGAAAGCGAGTTAGAGTCCATATTGGGTTCCATAGTCACATGGCCCCCAATATACCTCATTTATGGCTCAAATTGAAACATGCCACCATGATTCCATCTCAAGTGTATTCTCTTCTCAGCCATTACAGAATCCTGGAGAAAGAAATATTAAAATAAGGTCTCATGTGCATTGTCTTACAAAAATAGCTATCTAAAGAACTAAAATTTGCTACAAAACCTACTTTCTAAATAACCCAATATTTTACCCCAAATATATATATGTATAAAAAAAAAAAAACCAGTTGACAATTATTCCTTTTCCTATAACGACAAACGCAACATATTGACCATTACAAATTGCAAACTAAACACATTGTTAAAAAAATCCAATATACCTAGTAAAATCTAATCAACAGAAACCTTAAATCATATAAAAAAATGGGAAGAATGAACTTACCTGTAACAGGAAGCAGTACGCAATATCGCCTCGCTTTTCAACCAAAAACAAGCTACAAAGACGCAATGCAAGGACTTGAACAAGCAATGTGAGAGAAAGAGATTTCAAGAAGATGGAGGCACTGAGATTTTTAGATTTTACTCTCAGTTTGGGATTTTGGTTTATGGGTGAGTTTGACTGTTATTTTCCTTTAATTTTTCATTTTTTTCTTTTTCTGTTTCCCGTTAGTTCTTGTACATGTGGAATCCAACGTGGCGGATAACTTGATGACAAATTAACAGCTTTTTACACGTCAACGCAAGTGCGTTTCACGCAAAATCTTCATTTTGCTCAGGGGTACAATAGCTACAAAAAGCAAGTTAAAGGGCACAAAGGGTCTCTTGCAAAGTTGAGGGACACAAATGACAATTTTAGAAAAGTTCAAGGAGAAAATTATGCATTAGGCAATTTTTGAAAAAACTTTAAGCTATTCGACATCCCGTATACACACATATGTTCATTTTGTTTAAAAATGAACTTTAAAAAGAAAAAATTTTAAAAATTTTAAAAAGCGTAATCATAAATTCTATTTGAAAATTTATTTTTAAAAAATATATATCCAATCAAATTATACAAACATAAAAAAAATATATATTAATAAAAAATATTTCCTCCGTCCCATTTTTTTTTTTTTTTAAATATTTCCTCCGTCCCAATTTTTTTTTTTCATTTTTTTTTTTTTTTGCATGGTTTGACAAAATACGCATATTAAGGATTTAGTCAACAAAAATTATTTACCATTTTTCATGTTTAACTCACTAAGATGTTAATAAAAGTCATTCATTCAATGAAAAATCATAAATATTATTAAGAGAAAAGCAATTATTTAAATGTACAAATTTAGAAAACTTGCAAACATTTTGAGACATTCAAAAAAGAAAAAACAACCAAACAAAATGGGATGGAGAGAGTATATATTTTCTTTTTTTATCTCTCTCCTAGATAAAAGCTTTTAAAAAATTAAAATCAAATATTGAAAAAATAAATTTTAAAAATATATAAAAAAATTTTTTTCAAATGTTTCATTATCATATATATATATATTAAAAAATAAAATTTAAAATGATAAAAATTTAAAATTTTTGATAATTACTTAATTAATCTAGATTTATTTATAAAAATATAATTTTAATAATATGTATATTTACCAATCAATCTATTAAATTTTAATTTTGTTTATTTAATTTATAACTAAAATTATTTTTAGGAATATTGTTAAATTTTTATTAAGGTTCTATCAAAAATTTCAATTATTCCCTTATTTCCATGGTAGTGGATTTAATTCTTTAATATCCAATCAACTAATAAAATTTAATTTTTTATTTAATTATAACTAAAATTATTTTAGGATATGTTAAATTTTATTAAGGTTTCTATCAAAATCAATTATTTCCCTTATTTCCATGGTATGGATTTAAATTCTACACAAGTAACAAACAAACAAAAAATGAGATAATGCACACCAAATATAGCAAGTGCATATACGAACTCGCAATAAATCTGAATTTGAATCTCCTTCCATAATACTAAAAAAAAAAAAGTGACGATAATAATAAAGATAAAAAAATATTTAAAAAAAATAAAAAGATTAGTCATTTGAATCCCATATAAAATTTGGGGCTTAATAAATAACACAGAGAGTAAAAACACACAAGATTTTTGCAATTGCCAGTCTATGGAGTGAGAATATGGTTAGGGACATTTAACATTGCAAAAAATGTTGAAGAGACTACAATGATTTATGAGTATACATGTTGTTATACAAAATTGACATTAATCCATGACCAAAGGAATTTTACTCGATGGCAGCAGCGATGGTAGTAGACTGTATAATGTGCCATTATCAAATGAGACATGAAGCTATACAAAAAGAAAATTTTTTTTGTTCAACCATTGATAATATAGCTGGAATATAATTTTTTTTTGGTAGTGATGGTATTAGAAATATGAATTAAATCTATATTTCCTATATTTCCTATACATCTCATTGAGAATATACACTATCAATTAAATCTCTCTTTACGATAAGAAAAATGAATTATAATTCTTTTTTTTTTTAGTAAGATTGAGAGTAAAGCTCAAAGAAGAAACTTACAAACACATTCTAGTATGTGCTACCCCACACAAATTATGGTCAAACCAGGACACAATCCCTAATCGAGGATCCAACAAAACATGACTCTCTCTGGCATAAGAATGAATTGCAATTTTGATGTATATATGATAACTCTCAAATTCTAAATATTGAAAGTTAATATTCTCCATATTTTTAATTTTGAAAGAAAATTTTAGTTTCCTTCAATATTTTAATAATATTTCACATAATTAGCATATTTACTGAAATAATATGCATCTAAATTTGGTTGGCTTCAACATTTTAATGGTACCTTCTCTCTAACATATTTTGTTTACCCAAATAAAAATTATAAGCAGATTGAGTATCAATTAAAAGGCAATTGCATGAAGATTAACATTCATCCACAAAGTATTTTCATGTGAAAATCATGATATAAAAATGATTAGAAAATGAAAGCAAATCAACCATGTAAAATTCAGTTATTAAAAACAATATGTACAGTAACAACAATCATACTTTAGTCCTAAACTAATTGAGATCAGCTGTATGAATCATTTGTTTTAAATATCCAATATATATAATTAATTTTAATAATTTGGTGAGACTTATAAATAAAGATACTATTTTAAACAGGTTAATATTCTTGTGAAATAAAAATAATAAATTCATTATATTAATTATTTCAATAATTATAGTTGAATATCTTTTTGTGTAATAAAAAATAAATACTCATGCTTAACGTTATATTTAGTATGTTGTTTTCTAATCAAACCGACTGTTAAACGAGAAATTAAATATTCTATTTCGTCATCCCTTGACAAAATCATGGCTCCATCACTGAATACAGCTAAGATCTAAATCAGGACTAGTCATGGTCCAATTTAAAATTTGAGGTCGGACCAAATTGGTTTGAGAGAATTCGATTGAATTCGGTGATTCATAGGTTGTATTAGTTCCTAAGTATAGAATTGGAACCAGTGGAAATCTGCTGGAGTCAGCCGATTCTGGCGGTGATTCTACGATTTCCAACAAAAATAAAAATAAAAATAAAAATAAAAATAAATGCTAGAAATGTTCAAGTTCGGACTAGTCTTGATTCGAAGTTAGTCAGGTTCGAAACAGACAGTTTGGCAAAGTTCTTGTAAAAATATATATATATATATATATATATAACTAGTCAAATGTAATTATTATACTTAATACATATTAATTCATTAATTCCTAAATTTTATATTTATTAGAAATACAATTTTCTTATTCCAATGATTTCGAAGTTAAGTCAGGTTTTACGAAACAGCACAGTTTGGCCAAGTTCTTTAGTAAAAAATATATATATTATATATATTATAATATATTTAGTGTGATGTTTTTAGATTATGGCTGTCATTCCAACAGATTTGAGGCTATTAAACTATTTAGTGGATGTTTTAGATTATGGTCCAACAAGATTGAGGTATTACAGGCTATTAAATGAATATGTTGAATCGGAAAAACTTACCTATATTGGATTCATGAACCATCTATAAATCAAATTAATAAAAATATAAATTTTTATTAAAATAATGATATTCATGACCATATACTTAAAAAACAAAAGATAAAATAGAAATAATTTTTAAAAAAATATTTAATTTCATTGATTTAGTCATAAGTCACTTTGTCAAAATTGAACCAATACTCTATCAACTATTCATCACAGGAATTAAATTATAAAAAAATAAATGAAAAATAAAACCAATATTGTAAAATGTAAAATCTAAGGAGAAAAACTAACTAAATTAATTTTGATGGTTTGATGTTCGGACATTTTTCCGAGGATCTTCATTACTGGCAAGCATCAATGGAGCTTTATTGAAAGTACCTGAAACTGGAAAGCTATTGCAGAAAATGGTAGTGTTTCTCCATCAAAGCAAGCCAAGATAGAGACAACATGGAATTGGAATATGAAAATCCTAGCCTTGGACCCATGAACTTTAGAGTATTAATTTTTCAACACTTTCTCTTGTCTTTCACGTTGTACAGAAAGGTAATTTTATGCTTGACTATAATAAATCAATTTGAGATCGATTTTATTCCTGTTATCCCGCGTTAGCACGGGGATTAAATCTTTATTCAAAATATAAAATTTAGGTAATTTTTATTTTTTTTAAGCTAATTTTTGAGGAGTGAGCACAGTTTGATAGCCCAATTCAAATATATATAAATATTATATACTATATTATATAGTATTATTATATATATAATTATAATATATATCTATAGTATATATATCATTACTAAAAACATTGCACATGCTTTCTCACTGATTGTAATTTATATAGATGCAATGAATAATAATATTTATTTAAATTTAAAATGAATTTTGAAATCCCCGAAAACAATTCAAATCTTTCTTACAATTTTCCCCAAAAGGAATTAAAATAAAAAATAAGATAGCAAAAAACATTATTGTGCTCAAAACAAATTAAAAAATAATAGAAAGAAAAAGAAAAACAGAACATAAACCCATCAGGAAGCATACAACATATTGCTTAACCCCTATCATTACTAAAAACATGACATGTTCTCCACTGATTGTAATTTTTAGATGCAATGAATAATAATATTATTAAATTTAAATGAATTTGAATCCCGAAAACATTCCAAATCTTTTTACAATTTCCCAAAAGAATTAAAATAAAAAATAGAAGGCATAAAAACATTATTGGGCTCAACAAATTAAAAAAAATAGAAAAAGAAAAAGAAAAAAAGAACATAAACCCATCAGAGCATCAACATTTGCTTACCCCAGACAACATGCCCTTTTCATGTTGTCGAATACAACCCCATCCCCACTCCCAAACAACTATCATCTATTGCTGGACAAAATAAAATAAAATCTGAAAAATAAGTCATTTTTAATATTAAAAAAATAATAATTAGATGAAGAAAATATCCAAGCCAACCCAATAATGGTAAAACCAATAAACCCCCACTCCAAAATTTAATTAAAAAAAAATGTAATCACCACCACCACTCTATCTTAGCAGTCCACGTGTTTCTGTCATAAAGGTTTGTCAGAGGGCCCCACTCCAAAAGAAACACATCACGTGAAAGCCCAGGTTAGCACCAGAAATGCACACACATACCATATCCCCTACACTATTAAACATTAATTAATTTCTTCTTTTTTTTTTTTTCATTTTTCATGTTTTTTTCTTTTCTGTGTCTCTCTCTCTCTCTCAACTCATGAGAAGCTGCTCCTTGTCCGTACATTGCATGTTTTCATTGTTGTTCATCTTCTTAAGATTTTGTTGATGATACACTTGCCTTAGTCTCTCTATCTCTTTCTTCAGTGCCTCTTGATGAGCTGCCAATTTTTTTTCAGAAATTAATATATAAAATCTAAAAATAAATTTAATTTAATATAGTCAGTTCAGACCTATAATTCTAAAAGAAAAGGAAATATAGATCAATTCCTTATTTTCTGTGCTACATTCCACGTTAATATCAAATATTGCTTTAACAAAGAATGCATTCTATCTAGTTACCAAGTGTTTATTAGAAGATTGCGTGATTTCTGAGTTTAAATTTATTTAGTAAATATTGATTGAATTAAATTAGAAAAAATATATAAAGTCTAGTGATATTAATAATTTTGGTTTTTTTTAGAAAAATTTAAAATTGTACCTATAGTTCATTCTAGTATAAGATCCAGTTTATATTAGCCAAACCCTAATTCTTATTTCTTATAAGATTGAGCCTAAAGAGATTATTCATCATACATGCAAGAGTGCTAAGCAAAAACAAATTAAAATAATAAATAAATAAATAAATAAAAGTGAATCGAGTCACACTGGGTTGGGAGGGTTATCCTGCATTATCCGAATCCCAATTAGTCGGCTGTACCGGATACTGGGTGGTTTACCAAAAAAAAAAAAATAATAAATTTGCAATAATGAATAATATATCTCTTACCATCTTTGAAAATCTTGTCTTGAGCTAAGGCAGCAATCCTTTGCTTTAAAGCACTATTATCAACATTGAGAATCAACCTTTGATGATCCAAAAATGCAACTCTTGGAGACAATGCTGATACTTCCGTCTTTATTTTTCATAAAACCAACAAAAAAACAGATTTAACTACCTTAATACTCGAAATTGTGAATTAATTATATTTATTTATCTTGTAATATAAAAAATTAAGAACTACCTGCAACGTTGTGACGCTACGTTCAAGCTCTGAAATGTATTGTAACTTTCTCACTCTTGACCTTTGTGCAGATTGACGATTTGCTAATATTCTGATTGGTAACATTAATCTCAATTAGCAACTGTTAAGTATTTTCTATATAAATCCAAAACTTGCTAATGCTAATGTCGTTTTAAATTATATATACTGCATTATTTTAGTTATCTATCGACATGCAACCTTAAATAAACAATAATTATCAAGTTTTAAGACATTTTACTACGTGGGTTTTAATCTTATATTCCGTAGAAATAAAGCAATTCTTAGTTAATTACCTTTTAACTCTCTTTGGATCGATAATGGTAGGCTGCTGTGTTGTTTCTTGATTGCATATTGAGCTTTCCTCCTCTCCAGGTTCGTTCTTGGCTTTCTGTTGCTCCTGTTGCTGATGAGATTGCAGTTGTTGTTGTTGTCGTTGATCTGATGCCGCCATTGTTTTCTCATCGTTATTGCTGTTCTGATCCGACGGGGTCGACGGGTTTGATGTAGATGGCGGCAATGACAACGACATGTCGTCAAAGAACATTGACATAAGCTGCTCGTCATCATCTAACTTGTCAAATCCAAGATTCCCGGAAATGAAGGCATTCGAAGAATTATTATTATTGTTGCCGCTATTGTTGCATTCTTCCGCAGATTGGGTGGCGCTGCTTGTCTCAAGAAATGTAATTGAATCGCTTATCGACCGGCGGTGAACTCCACGTCTGGAAGACGTGAAGTCCAAGAATTCATCAAACCTCTTGGATTGATAATTCTCAACTACAGCGGTGGCGGTGGCGGTGGCCGCAATGGCAGTATTGGTAAAAAAGTTATCATTTGAAATTGGTTGATGAGGAAAAGGAAGCCAATTTGGAGTCATTGTAGGTATTTTGGGAGGTAACTGAGCCATCAAATCTTTTTCTTTCTTTCTCCTTTTTTGTAAAATGAAAATCCAAAACCCAAAATAAGGTTATTGGTAAGAAAGAAATTAGAAATCTAATGATTTAGCAAATCTTGGGCTCCTAGAAACACTCAGTTGGAGATATTAAGGGAACTGATGACTCTTCTTTTTGTCTACCTAATTATGGGTTATGGATATAGTTATAGTTATAGTTATAGTTATGAGAAAGAGAAACTAATAAGAAGAGGGAGGAGTTGAAACTAATAAGTAACAAAGAAAAAGAACCAGACAACCTAAATGAGAAAGAGAAAGTCTTGGAGAGTTTTAAAAACACTCCTAGGTATAAGATATGAAGGAGTTATAAGAGAAGCAGTTAGTACAGCAGCAACCAAGCAACATCATGATGTTAGTTTCATGTCTTGCTTTTTCTGTTTTAATTAATGTCTTTTGTTAATATTATTTATGGGTTTTTTCTGTTTTTGTTTCTTTTTCAGCATTGAGAAAGAGGAATTAAAATTCAATTATTTTCATATATATATATGAAAAATGTGTTAGCTTAAATCTTTTTTTTTTTTTAATGTATAATGCAATGAAAAGCGTTTTTAGTGTAGGATACTATGATTACATTAGAAATTATACTTTTACGTATTAAATTTTATTACGGCTTATCAAATATAATATCAGAGAGATTATTTGAAGTTTTTTTTAGTTGAATATATATTCATTATTAAATTAGTTGCTCATTTGATTTTGTGTTTGGCAAACTACATCAAGGTTTTTAATAGATTATAATTTAGAAAATGCTAATTTTTTTAAATTATAATTTTCTTAAAATAATTTAATAAATAATAAATAATAAATAATTCATTTATTTTTATAATATGTATGAACCTACTCATTGATTAAAACCAATGAAAAATACGTTTTTATTGAAATGATCATACCCGGGAACAAAAAAAAAAGTGAAAATAATATTTAAAAAATTTCTATTTTTATGAATTTAATCCATCAGCCAGTTCATAAGTCTAAGTTTAAACAAGTCTAATCCAATAAAAAATAATTTTAAATTCAATTTCAAATAACTTTTTTTTTTTTTTCAGTTATAGTTATTATTATTATTTATTTATTAAGGCCCAGAGGTGCTGGGGGTGGTGGGTCACATGGGGTTGGATTAGGAACAGCTAGCAACAGCTGGGATTTTTAGGGACTCAACGGTTTTTACTAGGAAAAGTCTCCGAGCATTTGTGTGAGTACTTCTCTAATAACTGGAGGAATCAGCCACCACGTGCAGATGTGACCCCTCTTCTTGGCATCAACTCATACACTACACTATATTTTTTTTATATTATTTTTTTAATTCAATATTTATTCCCTAAGATAGGGCATATTTTCTAATTTAAGGCACTTCAAATTGCCCTAAATTTGTATGTATGGGTTCAAAAGTTCTTTTTCTATATATGTATTTAGCCCTGGCTTGCCCTTCAACAATATTAATTCCCTATATATATAGGGCATATTTTGTAATTTAAAATATATTTTTTTCTATATTTATTTTTTAATCAATATATATCCTAAGATAGGGATAATTTCCTAATTTAAGGCACTTTCAAATGCCCTAAATTTGTATGTTATGGCGTTTTCAAAAGTTTCTTTTTCTATTATATAGTATTAGCACACTGGCTTGCCCTTCAACAATATTAATCCCTATAATATAGGGTCATATTTGTAATTTAAAATATATTATATATATATATATAATATATTATTATATATATATATATAATATATATAATTTCTTATTCAAATGACAAATTTTGGAATCCATTCAAATGATCTTATTTATTATATATCATTCAGTTTGAATCTTTTATTCAAATGACAAATTTTGAATCCATTCAAATGACTTATTTATTATATATCATTTCAGTTTGATCCATAAAAAAATCAAGTATAAAACTTGATTAATAAATTTTTATATATAATAAATATTTTCACGAATTAAACTAAATCGATATAATTCAATTCATCTAATTAGTTGGATATTATTTTTTTTTATGGTTTAATTTTTTTTTTTGGGTATATATATATATATACACACTCAAATAATTTGGTTGAGTTCAAAATTACTTGTGTAGCTCAAAATTTGAGAATTTCTAATTTGACAAATGGTATTGATGCTCCACTTTTGAATTTTAAAGGGTAGCATTTTTTTAATTTAGAACCATTATATTAGTTGTCACCTATTCCACAATCCTCTCTTATTCACTTCAAAATTAGATATTTATAATTTAATTAGGAAAAATAAATTACAACTGAAATTTAATCAAGTTAAAAAATTTTTTAATATAATATATTACGATTTTATTAAAAACTTTAAATCAATAAAAATAATATAGAGAGGACATGGCTCCTCTTCTGAACATCAAACATAGATTAAAAATTATTATTCTTTGATCTAATAAGAAATCCTAATGAAAATAATTGGAAGATGAACTTGAAAAAACTAATAGATCTTTAAAAGTAGTTAATTAGATAAACTCCATAAATTTTATATATGTGACCTAATTATTCATGAAATAGTTGCTTACAATGAACACAAAGGATTTGATCCGATGCAGAAATATGCTGTACTATCAGATTTAATTCAAAAGATAAAGATCATCGTGTAGTTGAAAAATTCTCCAAAAATTGCACACATGTCCAAATAAAACCAAACAAATACTCCACTAAAATGGAGAGATCATAAACTCTACACAAGATGGAGATAAATCACATAGATATATAATTTATTTAATAAAAAAACATAAAAACTTGCAACAAAACTAAAAATATAAAGAGTGACTGTCACAAAAGACAATATTCAACCTATCTCCATATCTACATGCTTGATTTTGCATTTAAATGGAGAAAAAGTAAGAAAATTTTAATGGAGAAAGGGAGAGAGAGAGTAATCAAGTTAAAGTTTGTTTTAGTAGTTTAGTGTCATCAAATAAACAAAAGGAAATTAAATAATTTTCTACATATATATCATAGATTTTAAGAAATGATAATCAGAATTTGATTTTCTTATTTTCTACCCATATATAAAAATAAACGTCTTTAAAAAAAAAAATATATATTTTCTTATTTTCTACCCATATATAAAAAATAAATCAGATCTTTTAAAAAAAAAATATATTATATATATATATATATATATATATATAATTTTGAAGTATTAGATTATAAGTTAAAATTATTAAATGAAAATTAATTAGGCATTTAAGCATATAATTGAGTATTAGATTATAAGTAAAATTATAAATGAATTAATTAGCATTTAAGCTATTAGAGACTCAACTTGCAAAAAATTTATTTTATTCATTAGAAAAATTTAAGAGTAAAGTTTCAACCCGATTCGTTACTGCCATACATAGTTATAAGATCAAAAACAATAATAAAAAAATGTAGATTGTGTTCGGCAATAGTTTTAAGTAATTTTTACTATTTTTTTTAATGTTCCGTAACATAGTATTGAAACTAACTTTTAGAGGTTAAATGTATCATTTTTATAAAATGTTAACTTTAGCTTTTTAGTATTGTATGAAAAGCTACTCTACTCAATGCTACTAAAATAATTAAAAGCTACCAAAACAACTAATTTTATCGGACAGACTCGTAATGAAATATAATTATATGGGAGCGTAATATAACATGAGAGATATTTATCTTTTAAGGACATATAACATAAAATAATATAAAGGGCATAAGGTGGCATTAGTGGAAGATGTGGAGGATTTTATATAGGGAGGATGATGAGCTGTGAAAGGAAGGAAACACTGTTAGAATCATGTCTTCTTTCCCCCCATGTGAATTGTTTGTAAGACCCCTCCTTTTCTTGCTTTGTCTCCAAATCAGACCCACATGGAGAGGGTATGTGTCCTTTTTTGGTTGCCTCTCTCTCTCTCTTGTATAAGAGGTTTCTTGTTAGCTTCTATCATCTCATGTTGGCATTTTAACATATGTTTTTTTAAATGAAAGTTCTTAGAGACACATATAATGATTAGTGAAAAGTTGGAAGGCAAGTTAAGTATACCCCTTGTAATATGAAAGTTTGTCTTCCTATAAAATAAATATTATTATTTTTGATGCCCTCTTCATAATAAAATAATAATAATAATTCACCACTTGATGTAATTAATTATGTGCTTAAATTGATAAACAAGCAAAACTCAAATTTCAACGCCATTTTATTATGAGTAATGTTTTATAGACAAATGATTAGCATTAATTATAGATTTTGGGGAATTTAATTGATAATCCTTATTTTATTTGTAAGAGCCAAAATTAATTCAAATATATTATGTCGGTCCACAAATAAATGTCACATTTGCAAAAATATCATATCCACACATAAGTCACATCTATTGATTTTAACAAATAATAAAGAAATTTTTCATGTTTACCCTTTATATATAAGGAACATCGATTACTATTCTGCTCAAAAATCACATTAATTTATTACAAATAAAGATAATATAGTAAATTTACTCAATAATTTGTTATAAATTAGAGAAATTATTAGTTTCTTAAGAGACCAAAAAAATGCAAATGTGACGCTTATTAATGGACGGAAGGAATATTAAATTACAAAAATATAGGAATAGATCCATGTTATATCTTGAAGTGGCTATCGGTTCAAACTTTTCAAAATTCAATTCTTTCTCTAAATCTTATATATATTTTAAAAATATTTTTGTTTGCCTCCCTAAAATTTTCGAACTTGAATTTTTCTCCTTTAAATTTTACAAATGTATGAATGTATATATTTTTTCTCCCTACGTATTGCTTTTTATCTATCTACAATACATAAACGTATGAATGTAGAGAAATATATACGCTAGCAAAAAAGGATAATGACATAATAAAAAGTCAGTAATAATTATATTTTCATTATAATAATTAAACTTACTTCCTAATTCTATTAATACTTAGAAAATATTCAAACACTTGATTAATAAAATAAGGAATTGAAATATTAAAATAAAAAATTAATAAAACCTATGTTAAATTGTAAAAAATATTATAAGAAAAGACTGATTTGAGTGCAAACAATTTTCATTATGCAATATGGCTGCTAACCCAATAATAACAATATAACATTATGATTAATTTATATTATTTGGGACACATAATAATAAATAATATTAATTTGCATGTGCATACCATAACAAACCTAACATTAATTTTAATTTTAGGATCCCAAAAATTCTTAGGAACCGTACAGACAAGGAAGGGACTGTGAATTGGATACAATAGAAAAGCATTATTGCACGTGGAGGAGAGGGGAAAAGGGGCCCACTTGCGTGTGATTTTTGAGATAATAGTAATAAAAAGTAGCAAAAGAGAACGCGTTAACACATTACTATAATAAAGGAATAAAAGTGTATGTCTGTGGTCACCGCTTTGTACAGTTGCATCCATTTGCAAGAACAGACTCTCTGACTTTGCTCTTTTTTTTTTTTTTTTTTTTTTTGTTAGCAAAGAGAACGCGTTTAACACATACTATTTAATTAAAGGAATAATAAGCTGTAAATGTCTGTGGTCAACCGCTTGTTAAACAGTGTGCCATCCATGCCAAGAACAGGACTTCTCTGACTTTGCTTCTTTTTTTTTTTTTTTTTTTTTTTTTAATTATTCTAAAATAAGTAATATCATAATAAATATTGTGGAAAATTATTAATTTTTTTTTTTTTTTTTTTTTTTTAATTATTTAAAATAAGTAATATCATAAAAAATATTGTGGAAATTATTTAATTACTTATTCAACACTGTTTAAATTTTTAGTTTGATTTGATGGTTTTAATCTCAAATCATAAAAAAAAAAATCAATGTGACAGTTTTTAAATTTTACAAATCAAACTAAATCATCAATTTTGAAAATTAAGATTTTAATTCAATTTGAATATGTTTGGTTGAATTTGGGTGGTTTGAGAACACTGTTAGGATGTGTTTACTTGTAAAAAATAATTTTCTATTTTCTATTTTCTAAAAAAATAATTTTCTTAAAATGAAAATTAGAAAATAAAAAATAGAAAAATGAAAAATGCGTTCACCGGTAATAATGAAAAAATATATTTTAACTTAAAAACTTCATAAACTTTATTCATAACCTTTATAATTAAAAGAAATAAAATACTTTTAAATTGAGAAATTTCTTAAAAATTTTTGAATTCTTATTATTGATTATTTATAATTATAACATCAATTTTTATCATTTTTGTAATTTTTAAAAAATAAAAAATATAATATATTTTTAATAATAAAATTAATATATATTAAAACATCATATAATTTTTTATTTTATTTAAGCATTTTTATTTTTTTATAGAAAAAATTATTTAGATATTATAATTTAATTATGAAAATTTCATTTTTTATAAATGGAAAGCAATTGGAAAATGTGTTTTTTTTTTTTAATAAAAGAAAATGTGATTAGTGAAATATCATTCCAAACCTTTGTTAATTTTTTAAAAATTGTAAAATTATTTTCTAATTTTTCAAATAAAAAACTAACCGATTTCAATACAATTATATAGTTTCAGTTTTTTTTTAAAAACTTTTTTAAGAAACTATCCCAGTTTTCCAAGTCAACACACTCTTACTTCCTATGAACAAATCGTATATTTTCCTCCACTAATACAAACTTCTGGATCCATGCCTAATCATAATTAGTTCTTTAATCTATATTATTTGATAATGTCACGACCCATTTCCATGGGCCGGACCGGCACTAGGACCTGGATAGGCTTAAGGCCCCCGAAGCCCGTAGTAAGCCTGTACTATTTAAAACTCGCATTCTACTCACAATTGTGGATTCAGGCCTAATAATTTATTTCATGATTATATCCAAAGTACAATCCAAATAATAAATGTCTATACTCTATTTGTTCATTTACAACCCAGTTGGAATACAATTGCGGAACTCTACTCCATAATTTATACTCGTATTTTCAACAACCAGGCTTGATCAGATTACGGAACCTACTCCATAATTCGCTTACCCTTGCATTTACAACAATAATTAATTACTCTTATCGATCCACATCTCGTTTCGTTCGTTTTGGACTCCAAGATTCTTTCTATCCATCTATTACCTGGTGGAGGTTGGGAAGGGGGGTGATTGTACTAAAACTCAGTAGCAGTGATTAGATAACTCTCTTCACCCCACAAACAATCGTGCAAATGCTAAAATATTTTTAAAATGTGGTCACCCATTTTAGTTATATGCATCATGCAGTTGTCACCACAAATGGGGCAAATAACATACAACCAATCACAATTATTATCACCTTCAATATTAAGCACATCAACGTGGAAATTAGTCTAGTGGCATCCACCTGAAACCCCAACGAGCCGTCCTCACACAATGCTCGCCCTCTCATACATGTGCACCAGGGAGCAACGACCCCCATATCGGCCAAACTGGTCTAAATTCCTCACTGACCAGTTCCTCTCATTGTTTTTCCATTCTCTCTCTTTCTTTTTCCATTTTACCAACAGGAGAAGTCAACCCGGTGGTCTCCATTCCAATCTTAGATCATCAAGTTGCTCACAAATCAGAGGGGCCACCCTGCGGGCTACAACTCAAATTCTAGATTATCAGCCGTGCGCTAACAACAGAGGCCCACCCTGTGGAAGATCTATATTAAAACCTACATATCATCAGGTTGCCACACAGGGGGCGCCGATCTCCCATTTTCCGTGCCGATACGGTCAATATCATATCATATTTCTAGATCCATTATCTACAGACCGTCCTCACAAAAACCCATGCGTGGTCCACGTCATCCCTTAATTCCACACAAAACAAAGGCACAGTGTTATTCATAGCTTACAAGTAATCAAAACAATTTTTACTATCATACAAATAGTGCATCATATAATATGGCACTTCATAAAATATTGCAGATAACATTTAGCCGTGAAATGCATGGTCATGCAGTTGCGGATTGAGTGCGAATTATCTATAACACTACTCACAAATCTTTATTGTCTTCTAAGGGGACTGCCTTTCTAGCCACGTGCTTCCAGCCTTTGTCCTCGCATTTCAGAATTTTATAAACCTCCAAAATCTTGCTGCCGGAATTGTTCGACTGGAAAAAGGGAGCTACGCGTGCCGGAACTAAGAGCAAGTGAGAGCAATGGCGTTGAGTCGACCAAACTAAGTTGCTGCGCTCACTGGAACTGCGAGCAGGTGGCGCGATGAGCTAGAGGAGGAGCTGGCGCTGCACGATCTGGCCGAGGGTAAGGCGAGACTGCTGGCGGAGCTGCTACGGCGGCCAGTTGCGGCGAGGAGCACCGGTGGCGCACGATGGCGTGGGTGGCGCGGCTCTGTTGCTCTGTCTCACCAGAAATGCAGGCGCAGTGAAGAAAGGAAGAAAGAAAGAAAGAAAATAAAAGAAAGAAAAGAAAAACGATAATCATTTTAGTCGTATTATCTATTACGGATTTCTTTACTAAGTGTTCACCGAAATTTGGGCAGCATTTCCTCTATAAACTGTACTACCAAATTTATCAAATTTTCACAAATCCACACGCACAGCCCATCCATCGGGCAAATTTATATCCACTAATCCCGTCCGCCATAACCGTCATTTATTCGGTCACTTAATTCACATAGCCCATTAAAATTAATTGTTTTATAAGTATTTATTTGTTAATAAAAAATTCTCTAAAAGTTATTATTAAGCTTAGAGCAATATATATTTTTAGTACCAACCTGTAATATGTTTAATTTAATTTTCATGAAAAGTATTATTTATACAAATTATTTAATTTAAATTTAATTTTAATTTACTTAAAACTAAATTAAGTTAATTAATTATATTAATCGGGGATTTATTTTCAAAAAATTGCGATAATTAAAGCTTTTAGGGAGTTAGTACCGATGAAAATCAAGATTTTATGTCCGTTGATCCGCGCGAAGAGCTGAGTATCATTCTGCCTCGCGGGGTTCTTTTCCCGGGGGGGGCCGGTAGTCTCGGCCGTAGCAACGTCGCCGGACCACCGCTTCCTAGATAGATGTCTTCCGCCGTGCACACGTGCCGGGAAAATATTAACCTTCAACTATAATTGACAATTATTCGATACATTCATTTTATTTCGTTTCGATATAGGATCATTAATATTTGTATTCAAATCAATAGGATGGGTGTGTGAACATATTTTGGCCCGTCGAAAAAATGACCGGAAATGGTTCGGTGATACCCTTTAGGTTTTTTGATTCCGGCTATTTTACAGGATCGACGAGGAGTCCTACTCAAATGAAAGAGGAAGAAGAAGGAGTAATTCGAATCAACATCCTACCTCGTGACGCTCCCCCCTTCCACGTCATCTTGGAAATAATCGCATTGGGGAAATCTCGCCGGAAGAAGTTGCTGCAACGGTCTTAAAACGTTTCGGTCGGAGATTTCTCTAATCCGGGCTCAAATTCGTGCAAACCAAAGTTTAAATTCAACTCCTTTGCGACTCGAGTAGAGATATTTTTTAGAGTGAAACTATCATATTTGCCGGATTGGCGGCCGGTGGGTCCGGAGGAACGAAAGAATGAAAAGGGGAGGGGGGTTTGTTGAGAGAGAAGAGCGAGGAGAGTAGACCACTGAGTTCTCTCTTCTCGTTTCCTCTTTTCTTTCTTCTTTTTTTTTTTTTTTTTTTTTTTTTCTAGAATTTCTAGTTTGGTGGATTGGGGGTTTGGGTCGATTCGAGTTCTGGTGTTTTGGAATTTAAATATTGGGTTTTTTAGCTTGATTTTTCAATTGATTTATTGGATTTTTCATCTTGGTTTTCGAAAAATTATTTTAGCATTTTTTTGTGGTCCGGCTTTCAATTTTATTTGATTATTTATTTGATTATTTTGTTCAGTTCCGTAATATTTTCTCAATTTATTCATAAAATATTAATAACAAAGATTTTTAATTTTAGGCTGATTAATTTATATGGTAGTTACATATATATAGACACATTTTTAATCGATTAACAATTAGTTTTCCATTTTATTTTCATCGAAATTTTAAGTATTACCCAAACGAAAATTCTAAATAATATATTTTTGGACTTGAGCCCAATTCGTAAAACTTTGGGCTCAATTAGAATTACTCGATCTTAACAGCCCATATTATCATAAATCTGGATTTTTGATTTAATAAAAATTCTAAAGCAGCCCATATTATCATAAATCTGGATTTTTGATTTAATAAAAATTCTAAAGTTTTAAAAATAAAAATTCGGGGTATTACAGATAATTACAGTACTTGCATCAACTTTAAAAAAACTACAAAAGATTTTGAGAAAATTAAAATTATTTTTATAGTGTAATAATTTATGAGATCAAGCATATTTTATTTTGAAAATTTTAGAAATAAAATAATTTACCCAGTAAAATGCCAAGCAACAAAATACAATGACAAAATTTCATAATTTTTTATAAGTAAAATATTGGGTCATTAATTTAAATATATAATTTCCAAAGCATCGTACTAACCGGTGGCAATATTATAAAGTATGAAAATGCTGATTTTATTATAATTAATTTTTTTTCATTTAATAAATAATAAATTTTTTATTAAATAATAGAGTTGCAAATTACAATAATATATGGTTAATAATATATGGTTAACAAAAGGACAAAATATAATTTCAATTCCTTAAAAATTTGTCACATTATAATTAAAACCTTTTATATTATTTAATTAAAAAATTAACTCGATGAAGGCCCCGCATTGCGCGAGTTGCTTTTTATACATTTTATTTTATAATTTATAATTTAAGAAATTGTAAAAGAAAAGAAAAATATTTCATTTTGGTTTGAAAAATCATAAGTTGGTCAAATTCAATATTATAACCTAACTAATTGGTAAGCAATTATGTAAATAAAAAAAAGGTACTTCCTAATCATGGAAGTACTGTGCGTTAAACATGGTATTAAAAGATAAACGGGAGAAAAGAGATGAGCTTAACTCCATAGAATGAGTTTTTTGCACCATATAGTAGCCTAGCCTATGAGTAATTTACTTTATCTAGAATTCACAAATCTATTTTTATTTGCTTTATTGTTTTTCTTTGGTTCTCAATTACACCACAATCTACTAAGTAACTAAATCTATAATAGGGTGACGAAACACTTTACAAATCCTACATTAAAATGCATAACACCACTTACAAAATTGCAGCAGCATCAAAAATTTAATATCTCCATCTACAGTGTATACCTTAAGTTGATTTCTGCAAATGGTTTTTATCACTGAATTTGAGTTCGTTTTAATGATTAAAGACCTCTATCTTTGACTGTGTCTAAAAACACATAGAGAAATAGTTTAATAGAAAAATCTAGGCATATGAGAACCAGTAAAATGGGCTGTATTAAGTAGTCTTGTCCACCAGTGTTTTTATCGATGAAAAGACATTCTAAAACCTCAAAGTCTCATATCTGCTCTAGGCACTATATCTGCAATTCAGAATTAAGTTCATTACTTGATAAGTTTGTATGTGAACACAAAAGTTTTACTTATAAGATTGATAAGTTTGCCTTTTTGTTTTAACTGCTTTTGTAAACTACATCTGCAATGTTTTAGAGTTAGCAAACCATGGTTTGGGAAAGTTAGAAATGCCATGATTTCCTTAAAGCAATTTAAACAAACATCGTAGAAAAAAAAAGGGCAAAAACATAGTTTATGTCAAAGAGGCAACATTGCATACCGGGCTTATCAAAGGACATGGCAAGATAGAGTACTCACAAACTATACAAATTATGGCAAAAAAAAAAAAAAAAAAAAAACTCACCAAAACTATAACAAATTATGGCAAAAAAAGAAGAGAGAGAGAGAAGAATACAAATCAAAAAAAAAAAAAAAAAAAAATACAAATTTGGTTACATGCATTCAATTATGAGAAGGTTTTTATCTTAACAGTTTCCGTAGATAATACATTTGTTAATAGCATATATTTTTGCACTATAATTTGATTCTGTGAGTAACCATAAGTGCTAACCAATTCATTCACGTTCTTCCTCTATGCTAAATCACATACATAAATATTGTTTTCCAATGAGAAATTAATTTAAATTTCAGTCCTCATCTATTTATGAACTTAAACCAATAATAAATAGATGAGGATTGAGATTTAACCAAGAGATAGATAGTTTTTAAATAGATAAGATTAAATTTAAAAAATGTTTGTTATCATCATAATAATATTAATTTTTAAATTTAAAAAATAATTTTGTATCCAATTAAATTGTAAAAACAAAGAAAAAATTATACTAAATAAAAGAAAAAAAAGCTCAAACATTTGTAAAAAAGAAAAATAGAAATACTCAAAAAATAGTATGCGAAGTCAGCTTCATAAACTTTTTTTTTTTTTTTTTTTTTTTTTCAGTTGATTATATGGAAAACTCGAAAAGAAAAAACATAAAATTTATTACCCATTGAAATTTTTTTTTTTTTTTTTTTTTTTGCTTCAGTTGATTATATGAAAACTCGAAAAGAAAAAAATAAATAATTATACCCATTGAATTACAATAAATTATTGCATTAATAAATATTAGCTTAATACCTGAAAATTTTAAAGCAACATATAATTTCGCCTTTCATCACTTGATCAAGTTATGAAAGTAAATTATTTAAATTAAAGCAACACAAATGTAGATTACAATAACTTTTCTGTAAAATAAGTCGTTGGGAAATATTTTTTATAATTTTCTGTTATTTGAGTGTTTAAGTATAAGTTGATGAAAAATATTTTATGGTAAAGGAAAACCAAGTTATTTTTAAGTAAAATGGTTTTCAATTTTTCAAAAGATGAAAATATTTTTCAGATATTGACAAATTTATTATAAATTTTATAAATGTATATTTTTTAATTTATTAATCGTCAATAGCACTACCCTGTTATCAGTCACTAGTGACTTTCTTAATTTACTATTTTATGCATTGTTGCTCATATTTAATAATAAATTCTATTATTATAAATATTTTATGGTCTTATGAGTTAAAGATTTTAATATTTTTAACTAATTTTTAATATTGTAATCAAATAATAGAAAATAAGTCATTTAACAAAAATTTTTCAAAGAATCCTTAAAAATATTTTTCAAAGGTAGGTTATTTTCCGAAAACAAATGAGGCCTAAATGTGCATTTTTTTTTATAACTAAATATTTTAAATATACTTAATTTTAGAATAATAATAATAATAATAATAATAATAATAAATGTATTAATTACTCGCAGCCTTCTTTTAAAACCTATAAAAAGAAAAATGTGAATAAAGTTAAATAAAAATCATAGCTAAAGACAACTGCTTGTAATCACTCTACAGGACCAAAGGTCTAATACTTGACCATTCATACATGGTACTGACTTTTCATCCAGTGAAAGACAAATGAATAGCAAACACTTGGAACTCAATGGAGACAAACATTAGATACACAATCGTTCATTACTTGTAGTTTGTTCAACCAAATATTAAAGCATGACATTTCTGTAACTCCATAGCCAAAAGCTAGAGGGTACATTTTTCTATGTATAGTCAAATCTGTGTCTATTTTCTATTTCTTTCATCTTATTCCTTTATTTATATACATGTTGGACAGTGAGGGACAGCACATGTCCAGGATGTAAGTTTGAAGGCCAAATTAGCCACAATACTTCCCTGATATTAGTTCTACACACTATTGCTCTTAACATCTGCTTCATGTGAAAAATGGGATTTGAGTCCGAGCCAACACTGGTAATAATCAGCATCCAAAAGCGGTGACTCAACAGCCCACGAGCAGATTCTCGGAATTAAACATGACTCAAACATGAAAGCCATTGTATCTGTGATTTTATATGGTCCTGCATCATTTCCACGTGCGATGGTAGCCTGCAAAGCAAATAAATCATTTTTAGACCACGACTTGTTCAGTGAAAACCAGCTCAAAGGGGTTGTTGATGACCAAAATAGAAATTGCAGTAGTGTATGAGCAATGAAAGCAGAAGCAGGGGTGGACACGGTTCCGGTTCCAAAATTTTTTGGAACCGGAACCGAACCGAAAATTAACAGTTTCGATTACGGTTTGGAACCGAATGGTTCCGGTTCCGATTCCGATTCCTCAACGGTTCCAAAATCGACGGTTTCGACTGGTTCTGACCAGTTTTGTACTGTTCTGACCGGTTTCGGACGGTTTCGACTGGAACTAGAACCGTCGGTTCCGACCAGAACTGGAACTGCAGGTTCACGGTTCCAAAACTGGTGGAACCGGAATCGAACCGGTTCGGACCGGTTCCGGTTCCCATCGGTTCCGCTTCCGGTTCTCACCGGTTCGGAACCGACGGTTCTAGTTCCGAAAACCGGATTTTGGCCACCCCTAACCAGAAGTGTCTTAAAACTTGTACTACTTATGTCATCTCCAAATGTGGAAGTTAGTTTGCTCTAAGTTGATAAAAAAAACTAGTGAGTGTATGAAGCCGTCCACAAGAGATATACCTCGTATGTCTTGGTATCTGGACCATGTGGAGTCATGCAGCTGTGAAGACTTGCAGCACCTGGTATGAACCCGTCAGCTTTTGCCTGAAGATGAAGATGCACAGGATGAATAAATATTAGTTAAGCTTGTTTCTAAGTGAGCAGGGAATTTAACCGAATTTTTGGCATAAGCACACAAAAAGATTAAGGGGTCACAGTATTAGCAAAATGTTTTTCCCTTTAGACCCTTTCAGTAACCTCTCAATCTACTGTTCATTTATTATCAATGTAATTACAAGTATAAAATACAATCCTCTACAAATTACATGTTACAAAAGGAAAAGAATGCGAATCCTAGAACAGCAAGAAACTGATCATAAAAAATGTGAAAAAAAAAACCTCATATCCACCATAAATCAGGCCCATAAATTCGCTCATACAATTTCGATGGTAATATGGAGGTCGAAAAGTATGCTCTGCAACTACCCATCGGGAAGGGAAAATGACAAAATCAAGTAATGCCACTCCAGGCTTGTCAGTTGGTGCTGTCAAAACTACAGTATATTGCAGAAATTCAATTAGAAGTTGAAGCACATTTTCAACAAACAAAGAATAGTAGTAAAGTGAAAATAGACTGATGATACACATCATCTACCTGTATTTATTGATGGGTCACTGTGATCAAACAAAACAGTATTATAAGGGCAAAACTTTTTGAGATCATACTGCAGATAAAAAATAGTTGTCAATTTCACACCAAATGAAGGCAAAAATGTCTCCTCGTGGAATGTGTTAAAAACTATTAACTTACTACACTTACCTTGTATGGAACATAATTACCATGCCAGGCTACAACATTGAAGGGAGAAAAATCTTGCTTTGCAGTAAATAGTTCACCACCAAACTTTTGTATGATGGTATACCCTGGACGAGAAGCCTCCTCAAACCAGGCCTTGGGAACAAGGAAATCCCTTGGAGCAGCAAGACCATTACCACCTAAATGAAACAAAAAAAGCCATATTTTTGCTGCTAAAGCAACATATATATATTGAACCAACACCTGTTTGCTAGGCACATCCAAAAAAAGAGATTAGGTACCTATTGGCCCAAGATCAGGAAGCTGAAAATGGGTACCAAATATCTCACAAGCATAACCACGAGATGGGCCGTCTGGCAAATCTACAGCAAAACGGAACCCTTGAGGTAAAACAACTATTTCACCGGGGGTGACTTGCAGCTTTCCACATTCAGTAGTAATCCACAGCCCTGCACAACCAGGACAGAGTGTGCTAGTAACAAGATCTCAAAGTTCTCAACTATTTCTCAAGTTTGTTGTAATGGAGGATGCATTAAAGATGCATAAGAAGAAATAGCCAGAATTCCAGCGACACATATAACACAATACTATACTATAGGATGCTACATGTGTTAGCAATGCATGCAGCTAATAAGGAGATAGAAAGTAAGATTCTAGTGGGGATATGGAGATCTAGTAAAGGTATCTTCGATACACAGACATTAAATATAGCGAAGTACATAAAAATTGAGGAATTTAGGAGCCATATTATCATACATACAAGTATATATCCAAGTTCTTTTAAGGATTGGGGCAAAATTAAAAGCTATTGGTAGTTTTTTAATTTATTTGGGAAAAAAAAAAAATTTCAGGTCCCCCTAAATTATAGGGAAATTAGCACAAAGGTCCATCAGTCCAAAAACTGTGTCATTTGACCGTCATATCATGGAAAATATGGAAATAGCCTTATTTTAAAAAATTCAGGTCCCTATATTATAGATCCCTAAATTATGGTTCCATTTCAAACTAAGGTCTCTAAATTGACAGATTTTGTGGATGGAAGGACCTACATGTTAGTTACGCTTAATTTTTTCGTTTCTTTCTTGTAATTTCATCTCATACTTCGCAGATGGTAACTTGATATCAATTGCATAAAACAAGAAAAGGAATTGGAGCTGGCATAAAAATAATTGCCCTATTGACAAGAATGAACAAGTACTGAATAGGGCTTCAGATAATGACTAATGCCTGCCTAAATATCTCCCACCCACTCTAATACTCTCTTCCACAAAATAATGGAATTTTAGAGGACTATAAGCAGCTAAAAAAATCCTGGTCTGCAAATCTTGTAGCAAACCAATTCACAGCCAATTTGGCATAAACAGGTATCTCTTTGCATGATTCCTATCCCTGAATGGAACACTTCCAATTATAAATTATTTGATAAACTAAAATTTGGTTTCAAAATCTAGGATTTATGAGACTATTATTGCATAATTTACTACCCAAAAAAATTTCTCCTAATAGAAAAACAAAGCAACAACCTAGAAACATATTCAAGTGTCTCAAACAATTATACAATCACTCATCATCCTCCTAAATCTATAATATTCAAATATATATCATAATTCCATATAAACCAAACGAACCAAACAACACATATTTCACACTGCAGGTATTACCAGGGCACTCATATGCACACATACATATTGGTTTCAATTTAAAACAAAAATCTAATACCATAGATCAACTAAAATAATTTTATACCAAAACCATGATTGGTTTCACATTGAATCACTCACTTCCTTTCTGAGGAACTATCAAAAAGTCACCATCCGCATTACAGAAAGCACAGTTGTCCATTGATTTGTTTGCGGTGTACCTACACAAAGAATCAATTTTTAACAAAAACAGAAACAGAAATGTTCATTCCATTTCCATATAATATAGGAAAACACCAATTACATGTGAATAGCAAATCCATGGCGAAGAAAGGAACTACCAGCCCCACAAACTGTATACAACCCATCAACAAAATCAGTTGGGGAATCAGGAATTTCCATCGGCTTCCACCGCAGCTGAGTAGGTGTTGTACGACTATTTGTCTTATCAAATTCGCTCGCTAGCTTTTCGTTACTTGGAATCCGAGGCTTAAAGGGTTCATGAGTAACTGATGGTTTTATTCGATAAAACCAACTATCCATTGAAACAAATAACATAGAAAAATCACTAACCAAAAAAAAAAAAAAAATTGCCATAATTTTTTTTTTTAAAAAAAAAGGAAGAAACATGAACCTGCGTTGATTCAGCTTGCGGGGAGAAGTAAAAGATGAACCAGAGAGCTGTTCTGCATAAAGACCGTAAGGACATAAAAGCGGGCTGTTTTGGCCACGAGGAAGAGCACCAGAAATAGCCTCTGACTCAAAGCTGTTGCCGAATCCTGATTGGTAATCACCGTCGTCAGAGGGGAAATCACGGCCGTTGCGTTTTGTGGGTACTGGTTGTTCTCGGTGGTGGTAGTGGTGGTGGTGGTGGTGGTCAAGGTGGGGAATTTTCTCCATGATTGAGCTGAGTAAAGAAATGACACGTTCAGACTATATTAGTATTTTTGGTTGGGAGAGGAAATGGATATATATATATATATATATCCATATGGTGATGAAGAGGAAAACGACATAGGTGGAGGTGGCCTCCGGCGATGACTTGGCATGATGATAAAATTAGGGAGACGTGAATTGGGGGAACAAGTTCAGTAACAGAACAAGGATAAGTGCACAAGTCAGCAATTTCTTGTACTTAGCTACTTTCATAGATTTACTAATTATTAAACGTAATTTGGTCATAATTCAATCCCATAGAATTGGAATAAATATAAATATCTAGTATGAGTAATCAGGTTAAAAAGAAAATTTTAATGTAAGCAATCGAATTAAATATAACTCACTAATTAATTTGATTAAATTAAAATTCATGGTTAATGCAATATGCATATTGAGATATTTGTTTTATTATCACTGTTTCATTAACAAGATAATGGATCTGCGCAAGTGATCCTTAGCCTAGTGGCAAAGATGATGCTTGAGAGGTCTCACGTTCAATTTTTGACACTGTAATATTTAATTTTTTTTCCCCTTTATTCAATTCATTTGTTTAGAGTTTATTTTTTTCTTCGGCAAATATCTTAAAAAAAATTATCCTGTCCTTCTATAATGGATGAGATCCTTTTTTTTTATTTGATCTTTATTTTGTTAATATAGAATATTTTTTTCATTAATATAACATTTCTTTATTGCATAATGTTTCTTTATTTTCTATTTTATTTTATTAATACATTTCTTTATTATTATATATTTATTATATTTATATTATTTTTTTAGTTTTAATTTAATTTATTATTTGTTAATAGAGATTTGTTAATAAAACTTACGTGGCTAAATGCTTTTCCACTATAAGAGCCACTATAAGTTTGTTCTGTAACATGTCATAGCAATAATGGCATAGCTAGATCTTAGTTACGGAATTTAAGTTCTTTGTAGTTGAAAATAAATATTTTTCCACGTAAATGCTTTTCCACTATAAAAGCCACTATAAGTTTGTTATGTAGCATGTTGTAGCAAGAATGACATAGTTAAATTCTAGTTATGTAATTTAAATTCTTTGTAGTTGAAAATAAATACTTTTTATCAAACACTTCATTACACTGTAACTAAAACGTTAAATTCTTTTGCAATGAAAATAAAAATTTAAAGCAAATGGTTAGTTACGAAAATTAAAAATTGTAGCCCACTAATTGTTTAGCTATAACTACATAATAGAATGTCTTGCCATAGAAATAATAAAGTACCAAATATTTTTACATTTAGTTATGATTGTAGAAACTATAGCTAAAAATTAAAATTAATTGCTACAAACAATATATTCGTAATAAAAATTTTTATTTTTGTTTCGAATAACAGTTACGTGTAGTTAATTGTTAATTATTTTAGCTTCAAAATATTGAAATTATTTGCTACGAATTTTATGATGTTCTAAAAATTTAGAATTTTGAGTTTTGACATAATCATTGTAGCTAAAAATATATATAAAACAATTTTAATATTTAACCACAAATAAATACATTTATAGATAATTATTTTAATGTTTAGCTACAAATAAAAGTAGATTTTTAAGAAATAATTCAATTCATTAGTGCTAAATGAAATTTTACAACTAAATATTGTATTTTAAACCACATGGTAAACTATACATTAAACAATATGTAAAAATAAATATCACATAATACAAAGAATTACACATTTAGTTCAAATATAAATTAAAATAATAAAATAATTGAATTCGAATGAAAAAACTGTATAAAAAAACACCAATTTAAATTTTTTTCTAACTAATCAAAGTAGCAATTGAAAAGAATAATATTCTAATAATAAATTGTTTTACTAAAAAAAACTCAGTGAAATGTCACTTCGCGTCCATTAATAACCCTCTCATCTTGCCATCTTAAGGACTCTCAACTGAAGAGGCTGCAATAAACAATCACAATAAAAAATATGTTAGAAATATTAACTTAATTGCTATAAAATATAATTAGTTATAACAGTTTATTGTAGCCAAAAAAACTGTGTGGCTGATAAGACAATTATTGCCACAATATATATAAAGAATAAAAAAAACAATATATTAGTTTTAAGAGTTTAATTTATGTTAATAAAAATTTTAAAATAATTATAAGACTTTAATTTTGTAGGTATAAGTATATATTAGCTACGATATTAACTATTTATCTAAAAAAAGGATGAAGAAGATGATGGTGGAAAGATATATTTTCATTAATCTGCACACCTCAATTTATACAGATAAATAACGTAATTAACTCCTAAACTACAACCTATCATTAAGCTATTTACAAGAGTAATTGATATACTTTACAAATCAGTCTACTATCTAATTATGGTAGACTACAACCTTTATCATTAAGCTATTTACAAGTACTTGATTTATACTTTACAAATCAGTTCTACTATTCTAATGTATGGTTAAGAAAGATTAAATGCAGATACTTTCCTTACATACCTCCCCCTCAAGTTGGGAGTGAAGATTCCGGAACTGTCTTTTCCTTAATACTCCCCCTCAAGTTGGCGAGTGAAGATTCCGAACTCCCAACTTGCTTCTCAAATACTCAAATTGTTCTCGACCCAAAGCTTTAGTAAAAATGTCTGCCAATTGCATTTGAGTTGGAACATAACAAGGCTGAATGAAACCCAATTGTAATTTTTCGCGCACAATATGACAATCAATCTTTATATGCTTTGTACACTCATGAAAAACCGGATTAGCTGCAATATGTAGAGTCGCCTGATTATCACAAAACAACTTGGCCGATTTCATTATTTTAACGCCCAAATTACGAAGAATATACTGAAGCCATGTAATTTCCAAACATGCATTTGTCATCGCCCTGTATTCTGCTTCAGCAGATGACCTAGAAACGTTTGTCTATTTCTTTGATTTCCATTAAATCATTGAGGTACCCAAAAATACACAATATCCTGAAATAGAGCGCCGTGTCATACGGCATCCTGCCCAATCTGAATCACAGTATGCCTTCAATTCTAAGTTATTTGTGGAAGGTAACAATAGACCCTGTCCCGGTGTGCCTTTGATATATCTCAATAAACGGAGATATCTCCAATCATGAAAGCCCACGAGAGAGAATAGAGCATATTCGGCAGTGAGCGGTAAGTCTGGACTCATCCCATTGAATGCTTGAACATAAAGTAGATCCGTATATCTCCTCACTGCATGGCAGTTCACACTTACTCTCTACGGATTTCTGAAGTAACACCATCAACATAGCGTGTCATACGGCATCCTGCCCAATCTGAATCACAGTATGCCTTCAATTCTAAGTTATTTGTGGAAGGTAACAATAGACCCTGTCCCGGTGTGCCTTTGATATATCTCAATAAACGGAGAATAGCATTCCAGTGCGGAAGTCGTGGCTCTCCCATGAACTGACTAAGAGTCCGTACTGCATATACGATTTCTGGGCGCGTGACTGTCAGGTAAATCAGTCGCCCTACGAGTCTTCTAAACTTGGTAGGATTGTGTAAAATCTCTTCATCGGTAGATGTCAATTTCAGCTGCTGTTCCATGGGAAATGCCTCGGGCTTGGCTCCTAATAAACATGTGTCTTGTAAGATGTCTAGCGCATATTTTCGCTGTGACATAAAAATTCCTTATTGTGATCGCGAAAACTCAATGCCCAGAAAATATTTCAAGTTACCCAGATCTTTGATAAGAAATCTTTTGAGTAGGGTCTGTTTGAGCTGATGTATTTCTCGAAGGTTATTTCCTGTCAGCAAAATGTCGTCAACATAGATAATTACAGCAGTGAAAGAGGTACCTTGAACATTTGTGAATAAGCTGTAATCTGCCTTAGACTATGCATAACCGGCCTGTTGGATAGCTATGGAGAAGGTGGAGAACCAATTTCTTGAGGCTTGTTTGAGCCCATAGAGAGACTTGTGAAGTCGGCATACAGTGTTCTCCCCCTGTCGGCGGAGTCCTGGTGGAGGAATCATATACACAACCTCATGTAAATCACCATGCAGGAAGGCGTTTTGAACATCTAACTGGTGAGTGAACCATCCTCTAGCTGCAGCAACTGTGAGCAAGCAACGAGGAGTGGTCAATTTTGCTGTAGGAGAAAATGTTTCCCTCTAATCAATCCCTTCAACCTGCGTATACCCTTTGGCGACAAGGCGAGCTTTGTAACGCTTAATGGACCCGTCTGAGTTATATTTAATTTTATAGACCCAGCGACATCCAATGGGTTTATGACCTGCAGGAAGAGAAACAAGACTCCCAGTATGGTTACGCTCCAAGGTCTGTAATTCGAGATCCATAGCCTTTTGCCAATGAGGATGAAGGACAGCTTGGTCATACGAAGTAGGCTCTACCTGTATGGTTAGTTGTGCTAAAAAAGCTCGGTGTTTTTGATGAAAAATGAGAAAGTGAAATATAATTTGTTATTGGATACCTGGTACTATGCGAAGGACTTGCACCTGGGGAAACTTGATTGGCTTCAGACGACATGAAATAATCTTGGTGCCATTGTGGTGGATTTTTTATGCGAGTGGAATGACGGAGAATTTGAGGGACGTCCGAAACTGATGGCGATGAGGAAGAAATTGGTTCATGATCGGGAGATTAAGTAGGCAAAGATGTGGAGGTTGGAGATGATATCTCTGGTGAGTGTGTTGAAGAGTTTATATCTAATGAAAGTGGTGAATGAGATGATATGGAATGATTTGGAGGAGTGGCTGATATTGGATAATTATTAGAAGAGTCATGAGTTGCTGGAGAAAAATCAAGATTTGGATAAGTAACTGGGTCGATATCCATGATAAGATGTGGTTGTACTGACTCGGATGGAACATTATATGAAAAAGGAAATGAATTTTCATGAAATTGTACATCACGACTGACAAAATATCTTTTGGTGGTGAGATTATAAAGTTTATACCCTTTTTGTCTGTTTGGATATCCCACAAAAATACATGAAATGGCACGAGGATCAAATTTTTGCTTAGGATGGACATTAGTTGCATAACACTGGCAACCAAAAACTCTTAAGTGTTGCAAAGAAGGGGTTTTGTGATATAATCGTTCATATGGTGATTTATTTGATAAGATAGGTATTGGTAGTCGATTTATGATGTAAACA